CCTCAGTGATATGATCTTAGCACCTTCTCTCTGTTTCCTCTCTTTTCCCTCTGGTGGAGTAATAGCAGGACCCTATGTTCCCAAGGAAGCAGACATCAGATTCCAAGGTGCATACTTAGCTGGGAGTAAGTTCCATGAGAATTACAGGTGATAGGACAACACTTTCAATCTCTGCAGAGGGTCATGGGCTAGCTTGGGGAGCAATGGCTGAAGGACTGCCATCACTGTGCCTTCCAGACCACCCAAAATATGTACCTGAGGTACTTTTATCACATTACTTTCTGTCTCTGCTCCCTACCTCCACCTAATTATTGGGCCATCTGCCTAGAGCTAAATTGACATGAAATTGACATACTATTATCTGTTATATAGCTCTAACAGCCCTTGATTGTGGGAGGAACACTATACTTTTTAATATGCCATTTAAATGCCACCCATTTGGAAAGAGAATCCAGAAAAGATTCTAGAACTGACCAAGGTGGAATATTTAATCTAAGAAGGAAAAACCAGATTTTAGTACAAGTCAGTAAATAGTCCAGATGATCTAAAGCAAAATCCAGAAATCCAAGCCTACATTTCTTGATTGGAAAACTGCATCCTTTTCAAGGATATTCATGGTGCAGAAACCATATAAAATTACAGACCAGAGAATTTGATTTTTGACAATATTTTCCAGGAATAAAGAGGAATTCCATGTATAATAATCTTAATTTTACTCCACAAACTCAACCAATGTCCATCTATATGTGGAATCTTATTAGTAAACTTGTACAGGTTCAGCTTAATCATAAGACATATATCTCTGGTGATAAGAATCCCCAAATGCTGAGAGTGAGAAAGACAGTTGCTGTTGGTGTGCATTCTCAAGGCCTGCTCCCTGGACTTCAGGGGAAGTGGTGGTGGTGGTGGTGGTGGTGGTGGAGGAGAAGGAAGAGGAGGAGGAGGAGGAGGAGGAGGAGCAGAAGGGTGCCTTGGAATGTGGGCCAATTCCAGGTGTTGAGATGAGAGAAGTAGAGAATCTTATCTCAAGGCCAGACTCCCCAGGTGAGCAGGCAGCCTGTGAAAATAACCAAGATGTACAGTTAGTGATAGGAGACTTGGAACAGGGGAGTTTCTCAGAGACAGACAAGACTGGTAGGGCTCTTGACCCCATGACTTGACATCAGCAGAGGAGGGTGGCTCAATTACAGGAACATTGTACAGAAAGGAGGCATACTTATTTTCAGAAGACCCCTCCCAAGGGGATGTAGCCCAGGCATGTTCATAAGGAGAGTTCCTGGAGGCAAATACTAGATTCAGTTCAACTCTCCATATGCTCAGAGATTCATTCTGGGTGATTTTGCTTCTGGAATGCTTTCATTAAAGAAACATTTTGCAAGAAATGTCTGTTTACTTTAAAAGGAGGAATCCTCGCTCATGACGCCCAGTAAGTAATGAAATCCAGCTGCCACTGAAATTGCCAATAAGCTAATACACTGTATGATATATTGCTTCCTATTGGCAGCAGATCAGGCTTTGATTAGTTATTTGAATAACTATCTGTTGGACATGCAATGCTGCTGATATTATCATATGTGTTGGTAAAATGCAACAGTTGCCTCTTTTTGAGAGAAGGTTATAGTAAGGATAAACTTTATACCAGAACACTTTAATATTTACTGATCTTACATTCTTTTACCTACTTGCTTCTGGGAAGTTATGGGCAACATAAATACATTTTTCATGCCATTTCAGCAGCCAAAAGCCTAATATTACAATATTGGAAGTATAATACAATGGATTGAGAACTTAATGATATTTTCAACATCTGGAGGGATGGCATATGGTCACCACTCTCAAATGTATGTGTTTTTGGTCTGCCTTTGTTGAAGGTTACATCTAACCGTTATCTTTGAATATATAAAATATAATTGTACATAACAGTGTTTCTGTGCTCTTGTTCTGAGCACTTTTGCTGAAACTCACAGTAAAAACATATATTTTTAAAATCTTACCCATTTAGGAGTAAGACCCATTGGACTTAACAAGATTTACTTTTGCAACAGACTCCAAGAGTAGACTTCTGTAGACTCCAATAGGATTATTCTTGGAAATGGGAGGAAGGGAGGGAGGGAGGAAGCCCCGCGCCCTGAAAAGCGCCAGCGGCGCCCGGGGGAAGAGTGCCGGCAGAAGAGGTGCCGCGCACACCCCACCTGCGTGCGCGGCAGCGGCAGAGGCAGCAAACGCCGCACCCCGGACTCCACCACCTGCCCTGACTGCCGCCACACCCGGCACGTGTGAGACCTGGTTTTCTCGACGGGGCAGGAGGAGGGTGGTCTGAGGGTGAGGAATTTATGCTTGACTCCCCTGTCATGGTCAGATCACTTTCTGGTGAGGTTTGTGCTCGAGAGCGACCTCTCCCTCTGTAAGGGTGTGGACCTGATTGTGTGGGTCCGCCCCCAGAGCCGGATGGATCCGGAAGGATTCCTGAAGGCCCTGGGGGAGTTTCCGGCTGACAAGTCGGGTGCTCCTTTCGAGGCTCTGGTCGAACTATGGAATGGGGAGATGACCAGGGCTATTGACACGATCGCTCCTAAGCGTCCTCTCCCACCAGGCAGAGCCCGCTCTTCCCCTGGTACACTCCTGAATTGAGGGCGATGAAGCAGGTTGGGAGACGGCTAGAGCGTAGGTGGAGGAAATCACGAGATGAATCTGACCGAACACACTTGGGAGCCCACTATCGGGCCTATGCCGTGGCGGTGAGGGCGGCGAAAAAGAGGTTTTTTTCCGCTTCCATTGCCTCCTCACAATGCCGTCCAGCGGAGCTTTTTCGAGTGGTGCATGGCCTGGTTAACCCAGGTCGGAAAGAAGACCTGGTTACACCCTCAAAGGCCCGCTGTGACGACTTTGCCAGGCATTTCAGGGAGAAAATCGCTCAGATTCGTCACGAGCTGGATTCCACTATTGATTCAGAGGTTTTTGGGGAGACGCCAATGCTGCCGTCTGGTCCAGAATTATTGGATGAATTTCAGTTGTTGCAGCCCGATGATGTGGACAAGGTGCTTGGACAAGTACGTCCCACCACTTGCCTATTGGACCCTTGCCCGTCTTGGTTAATAAAGAATTCCAAGCACGGGACTGGGATCTGGATCTTGGAAGTGGTTAACGCTTCTCTGAGGGAGGGTTGGGTGCCTGCCCCTTTAAAGGAGGCGGTAGTCCGACCGGTCCTGAAGAAGGCGTCACTGGATCCAGAGATGGCCACTAACTATAGACCTGTGGCCAACATCCCGTTTCTGGGCAAGGTGTTAGAGCGAGTGGTGGCGGGACAACTCCAAGCACTCTTGGATGAAACTGATTATCTGGACCCATTTCAGTCCGGCTTCAGACCCGGGTACGGTACTGAATCTGCCTTGGTCGCCCTGTACGATGACCTGTGCAGGGAGAAGGACAGGGGGAGTGCGTCCCTGTTGGTTCTCCTGGACCTCTCAGCGGCTTTCGATACCATTGACCATGGTATCCTTCTGGATAGGCTTGCGGGATTGGGGGTCGGAGGCACTGCTTTGCAGTGGTTCCGCTCCTATCTCAACGGCCGGTTCCAGAAGGTGGTGCTGGGGGACTATGGCTCTGCGCCATGGCAGTTATGCCATGGAGTACCGCAGGGGTCCATTTTGTCCCCTTTGCTGTTTAACATCTACATGAAACCGCTGGGAGAGGTCATCAGGAGGTGTGGGCTGCGGAATCATCAGTACGCTGATGATACCCAGCTCTACCTCTCGTTTTCCACTAATCCAGGTGAGGCAGTGGCTGTACTGAACCGGTGCCTGGCCGAGGTAATGGGCTGGATGAGGGCCAATAAACTGAAGCTCAATCCAGACAAGACGGAGGTCCTGTTGGTTGGCGGATCGGGCTTCGGAGAGGGTGAAGTGACTCTTGCCCTGAACGGGGTTGCACTCCCTCCTAGGGACAAGGTCCGCAGCTTGGGAGTGCTCCTCGACCCGGAGCTCTCACTGGAAGCTCAGGTAACAGCAGTGGCGAGGAGCGCTTTCCTCCAGCTTCGGCTGATTCATCAGCTGCGCCCCTACCTGGAGAACGACTGCCTGGCGACAGTGACACATGCACTGGTGACTTCCCGTCTTGACTTCTGTAACGCGCTCTACGTGGGGCTACCCTTGAAGACGGTCCGGATACTTCAGTTGGTTCAAAATAGAGCTGCCAGGCTGTTGACGGGGACTGGGCGTTATGGTCACATGACTCCAGTTCTCCGTCAGCTTCACTGGCTTACCATTGAAGTCCGGGCCCAATTCAAGGTGTTGGTAATGACCTATAAAGCCCTAAACGGCTTGGGTCCTGGTTATGTGAAGGAGCGCTTACGTCCATATATGCCCAGCCGCCCCTTGAGATCAGCGGGAGAGGCCCTTCTCCGGGAACCCTCCGGGAAGGAAATTAGGAGGGTGGCTACTCGGAGGAGGGCTTTCTCTGCGGTGGCGCCCAACTTATGGAACACGCTCCCCAGAGAGGTCCGCCTGGCGCCGTCGTTATTTGCTTTTCGGCGCCAGGCGAAAACCTTTTTATTTAAGCGGTATTTTAACTGTTAGTATTAACTGATTTTATCTGGCCAGGGCGGCTTATTTTATATCGTATTTTTTGGATTTTTAATGTTTATATTAATTTATTGTTGTAAGCCGCCCCGAGGCTTCGGCGAATGGGGCGGCATAAAAATGTTTTAATAAATAAATAAATAAATAAAATGCATGGTTCTGAGCTGTTCTCGAAGTAATCAGTAGGCATTAGTTCACATGCAAATGTTCACAGGCGTGATATAAATATAACACATCATTAATCCTATGTAGGCTGTTAACTTAACTGAACACCCAGTGAATGCAGTGTGTTTAATTGTTTCTCTTGTTCACTTTCTAGCCAATGAAATCTGCTATGAAAAACTTGGCTGCTTTTCTGATAAACCTCCTTGGTCAGGAATTCCTGGGAGGCAACTCTTTGGTTTACCCAATTCTCCTGAAAATATGAATATTTCTTTCCTTCTTTTCACCAGAGAGACAGGAAATGAGTCACAGGTGAGACTTTTTCATTATCTCTTCAAAAGATATTTGTTATGTTCACATGAAATTAGTGCTCAGCCATGGTTTGTGTTAACTGTGATTGACTGCTTTAGCCATTATTTTGTAGAAGACCAGCCTATAAACTAGGACTATTTTATGTATTTCTCTCCCATCCATTTTGACAGCCTTTGGAGTAGTTGCATGTTCAGGCAGCTTTTGTTGGGTGGCTGTGTCTCAAGACAGATGGCAACTGAAGATGCCTAGTATAGGCCATGATTCTGGGTTAAGGCATCATGATAAGTAGTTTAAAATAAGCCAGACTCTATAACTAACAGCAAACCATGGCCTCCCTTTGTGAATTCTATCTAGCTAATAAACCATGGTTTGTTCATGGTGATGTTTTTAAACAGAACAAAGCTATATGCATGACACTACAGCCCACTCTGGGTTACTTAACATGGTCAGGTTATGTCGTGCACAGACCACAAGTGTCTGCCATTTTAAATGTGCAAGCTCTATTTAGATATTTTATATCATGTGAATCCAGTGATCATGGGTTATGTAGGGGTTAAACAACCCTCACTTAGGCACTTGCATGTTTTTAGAATCATAGGAGCGTTTTTAAATCTTCGCATAGCCCACATTTGCTGGAATCACATGACACAACCTGCAAACAGAGGTTACATATTCAACCTGACATCTGTGGGTGTTGTGATTCATTTTGGGTTAAGTAAGCCACAATAGATCATAAATGACAAGCCAGATTTTTAAAAAATACACCTTGATTTAGTGTTATGCATGAACCCGGACATTAGCCATATGATTCTCTTTCATATCTATTTCTTCCCATCTCAACTGAGGAAATGTCAATGGCTATTTTAGATAATGGTTCATTAAGCAGAATAACATATATTTATTTCTAAATCATGTTTTGTTAGATGTGGATAACTTCAGATTATAACTGTAAACAATATCAATGACAAATCATTATGCAGATCTGCTTTATTGCAGGTGTGGATCTGAACTAATATTCAATAAATTTCAGAAGATATAAAAACTCTAGTTCAATCATCTACCATGCAATAATATTTGTATTTCAGTATCAAGGGATCCATAAATTGGGCATTTGGTATGTTTAGTCAATAGCCTTTTTCCAGATAATAGCTCTAATTTATTGTATGGGTTCAGGTACATTTATGAAGCAAGCAATAGTAAGACATATATATTGACAAAAGTGGATATTAGAAACATGAAAATTCCAGGGTTGGGAATTCTTGCCAGTTACCTGACCTTGGAAATATATAGACTAAAACAGTGTGAAGTGAGGATTTCAAAATCAAGTGTACATCTAAGAATTAGGGCTTTGTGAGGATGTTGGTAGATAAGTGAGAAATATGTGAATAAATGAGACAGCATGCTTTATTTTGAAGATATTGGAATGTCTAAGAACTTATGTTATGATTCTTTTAAAATTCCAAACAGAAAATATTATATGACAATACAACAACTATTCGAAATTCTCATTTCTCTCCATTGAGGAAAACTCGCTTTGTTATCCATGGATATACCAGCACTGGAAAATATGGCTGGGTTGTGGAGCTGTGTTTGGTATGAAATTTTTATTGGCAGATTTCCCCCTCCTTCATTTTTAGACATGAAAAAAAATATTTATTTAAGGCTTTTATAGAACATTCATCTACTGGCATCTCAGGATTGTTTAACAACAAAGCGGCAGATAAAATAGAGCACAGCATCCAATAGTTCAATATTATAAAAACCACATTAAAACAGATTAAACATTAAAATACTGGAAAAATAAAAAGTGCCAAAAGCCTGGTTCCAAAAAGAAAAAGAAAAAAGAAAAAAATGGGTGGAAATTACATGCACACAGGTTTGCAGTAATGCTCCTGAGTCAGTTGTGGGGGTTTGCGTTTTCATTTCCATGAGTGATAGAGGCACATGGTGCACCTTGTGTGTGACGTACTTGGCCAGAGTATTGCAGGAGGGCAGGCCCAACCTTCACATTGACTTTTGGAACCCTTGAATTGCACCGACTATCTCTGGAAGAGGCTCAGGTATCTTTGATTGTCCTAATAACTGCTAACATGCTTATTTTGTACACGGCATGTGCACTACAGCTACTGGTGAATGTGGAAAACATCAACTGTATTGCTGTAGATTGGGAAGACGGAGCGAAATGCACGTATTTTTCTGCTGCCAGCAACACCCGTGTTCTGGGGGCTGTAATAGCTTATCTGATCAATACTTTCACGGTAAGGATGAAATTAATTGTTTATTAAGTTTCATAGCTGGGTACTATGCCTAAGCAGCAACATATTTTCATATATATGTGATTGGTATTTAAGCTAAATTAAAAGTACATGCAAATACTATGCATGGGGGTGGGGGCAATACAGAAAACCAAATGTTCAGTTACATCTCTTTGCAGTAGCAATTTATGGCCCGTTCAGCATTCTCACATGGCTTAATGTGCCCAATGTGCAACACAGGGACATCAATTCTCAAAGGAACTAGCAAGACTTCACCCATGCTGTATCTTTTTATGCTATCAGTTTGTTCCCCAGTATTTTGTACATAGCATTTTATGGAACTGTCAGCGTGCCGTACATGCCCTACTTATGTATTCCAACCCAACAGTCCCCTGAGAAGCACAGAATCTTTTGCAAAGTCTAATGTGCATTTGCCTTATGCATGTATAATGCAAATAGATATGTGTGCATATCTCTATTTCCCCTCACAACCAGAGAAAACTCAACAATACTCTCAGAATATAAAACATTCTTTTATTACAAGTAGGATAGAATGGACAGAGAGAAGTAAAAATGCAGCTTGTTGGGATCACACTACAAGAGTATAATGCAAGGCAGCATGGCATTACTAACCCTCTCAGTTGCACTCATTAACTCTTAACATAGCAAGAACTTTACATCCTATATGCCCTAGTAAAGAAAACAGTGCACGGAGAAACCCCTGTTCTACTGAAAAGAGAGAACTGAAGGTACATACCATCTTGTAGCTTTAATCAGCAAGGCATGGCTTTGATTCCCATCATCAACATTTTCTACTTTTGACTCCCTAGTTTCTCTTGTATAGAAAGGAGGGGTCCCTTGGATAAGAAAGAAAACTTCCTAAGTGCCATTGCTTCATTTTTATTGTTCGCATTGTATTGTATTCCTTTCTTAGACATTTAATCCCAGGTAGAACTCATTAAACTATTCTTGATTAAGTGTTTTCCTCCAGCCTGCCCTGATTTTGTCTCATCATTTCCTGGACTATTTACCAAAACTGCCTTTCCCTCTTTCTGTGCACCTCGTCTAATCTCATTAATACTGTACAGGAATTCCCTGCCGGAATTCTGTTTACATAATCTGCACCAACTCAGTAGCCACATCTGCGTCCTCAGACATCTCTTCTATAACATCAGCAGTCAGCTTGATTTTCCTTGGCCATCATTTTTAGCAGCCCTCAGAACTGTTTCAGTGCTTGCTTCTGTTTCTTATGGCTGGTTTACACACCAAACCATACCAAAGCGGGATGGTTACACCACCAAAAGCATCACTCCATCACCCTTACAGAGGTATAATACCAAGGGTACATCATCTTACAGAATATAAGCAATAGCCAAAGAGACTCCACTTGGAGTATGGCTGGCATACAAATGCATAAATAAATAAATAAATAAATAATGGAATATAAAAGTCATTAAATACATATATCACACCCATGTCCTTTCTCAATATTGTTTTCAGGCACCTGAATTTTGGTTCATGTTTGTGTTAATCATCAAAATAATTTAAGAAAGGGTCAGCTGAAAGGAGGACAGCAAAGAAACTAGTTCATATCTTGTAGGTAGGCGTATTGCAAAAACACAAAAGAACAGGAAAGACTAAATCAATCCTAGTCAAAGGAAGGCAGTTGCACAGACATGGAACAACAGACTGTTCTGTTTAAGCCTTGGGCTCAGTGGTGCAATGGTCTGTTCAAATGTGCAGGCACTTGTCAGGACAGTCTCCAAGGAGCATCCAAATATACCAGGAAATCAGTTGCTCCACTAGGAGCAGGACTCTGACAATGGCTCTTAATAGCCAATTCAGGATGAAACCACCCCAACACGTTTTGCATTACAACAGGGAATAGGGTTCTTCTTTGCCAAGCACATATCTTTATGTAGATTTTTCTCCTTTTCTTCAATTACTAGAAAATGTATCTGTACTGCCCATCCAAAATCCACCTCATTGGCCATAGTCTTGGTGCCCATACTGCTGGAGAAGCAGGGAGACGACTTCGAGGCACTGGCATAAGGTTTCTGGGCATCGACAGAATAACTGGTATGTCATCTAGTGAAACTGTATTATGCTTTTTGGTAGAAAGATAGGAAGAATGGACTGGAGTGAAACAACTGAGTGAGGAAGAACTCACCTGGATTAGAATTAAACTAAACTCTTTTTGGTGGAACAGTTAGTTCATATTGGCTTTTCTGTGATGCTAGGAAACACTGGCATTTAGGAGTTATTGCAAAGAACTCATAATCGTACTGTCCTTCCCTTTTATGCCTGGAAGGTATTGCATTGATTCATAGCAGCATGCCTGACTGAAAAAGCCATAGCACGGCACCTTCTTATTTTAGTGCCAGCCTTGCTGGAAGCTGGCAGAAGCAGGGGAGAGTTCAGGAGGAGAGTAAGGAAGAATGAGCAGCTGTATAAGCGTCATGCAATGGCGACATCTTTGCCTTTACTCTTTAACTTGCTATGCCTGTACTCTTTAACCCATAAAAGCCCGGGGTGGACATAACATTCTTAACCATGGTTCATAAATCCAGGAGAGACTTGTACACTCTCCCATTTTCCATTTCTCAGGCAACTTATTCTCAAGCTTACTTGGGTTGTTTTAGCTGTGGTGTAGCTATGACTGTCTCATCACAATGGTCAACCCAACATAAACCAAGGTTACACACTTAGATCTTGTTAATGTTACATTCAACCATAGTTAGTGCTAATGTAGATATGCTTCTACATCATAATTAAAGAAAATCATAGAGAGGAAAGAAGAATTTGGGTGTAAGAGGGGAGGACTGAGCTGCAACCCACCCTTATGTTACATTTGTGTTGACTCACAGCCTCTCATTAAGTTTAGAATTACATATAGTTTCCTCCTTGGGGATGCAGGTGGCACAGTGGTTTAAACCGCTGTGCTGCTGGGCTGGTTGATCGAAAGGTCGCCAGTTCGAATCTGCACAACGGGGTGAGTTCCTGTTGCTCCATCTCAGTTCCTGCCAACCTTGCAGTTCGAAAGCATGAAAATGCAAGTAGATAAAAAGGTACCACTTCGGTGGGCAGGTAACAGCGTGCCGTACAGTTCGATGTTTAGTCATGCCAGCCACATGACCACAGAGACTGTCTGCAGACAAACGTCAAGGGGAAACCTATATTTATTTATTTATTTATTTATTTATTTATTTATTTATTTATTTTCTGATTTATATCCTGCCTTTTTCCTACAAAGGGCTCAAGGCAGCTTACATCATTCTCCTCCTCCAACTTATCCCCACAACAACAACCCTGTGAGGTGGGTTGGGCTGAGAGTCTGTGACTGGCCCAAAGTCACCCAGTTGGCTCCATGGCAGAATGGGGACTCGAACCCAGATCATCTGAGTCCCAGTTCCATGCTCTTAACCACTACACCACACTTTACCTTTACCTTTATAGTTTCCTCCTTACTGCCTGTGTCATATCTAATCAAACACATTTCTTACCATCCAAGTTTTTCTTTCTTCTTTCCATTTCATACCTTCTTAATATATCTTCAGATAGATGGAATTTGTCAAACGTGCAATATACTAAATGACTGTTATGCTATAGTATTGTTTTACCAATACCTTCTATCTATAGATATTTATAATAGTATAACCCATCACTTTGAGAGAGACATTGGATTTTCAGGGATGAGAGAAGGGCCAGGTCTCCCAGTTCTTAATGGATGGTTTTATGTCTGTTTAGGTTTGGACCCTGCTGCATTTGGTTTTGAAGGTTTCCCTGATATGGTCAGGCTGGATCCTTCTGATGCTAGATTTGTGGATGTCATACATACTAATGCTGGCCGGTTTCCCAATATCGGTAATAACCAAACTTTCATGGACTTTGTGGTGCAAGTATAAAAAACTGACCAACTCATTTAGTGCACCACCAATCTATTTCAGGATTTGGGTTCCTTAATGCCACAGGTGATCTCGACTTTTACCCCAATGGTGGAAAGATAATGGTTGGATGTGATAATTCAGATACACCACCAATAGAACGTGACTCTGAAGACGTTTTTAAAGGTAACCCTCTCTACATCATCTATAGCAGCCTTCCCCAACCTAGTGTCCTCTACATGTGTGATCATCAAGTCCCATCACTCCTAGCTAGCATAGTCATTTCAGTGCACTGTCTGTTCATATAGCAACTCCAAATCAGAAAGAGGATCTCTCAGTCTTACTGTCCTAACAGCATTGTGTAGCTGTAAGTATGGAGGTAACTATTCAAGTCCTTGAACTATAGGTTTTCCTAAGAATTACCCAGAGTTATCCGTCTGTCCGTCCATCAGTCTGTCCGTCCTTCCTTCCTTCCTTCCTTCCTCTCACTCCCCCACACTTTTTCTCTCCTCCCTCCCTTCTTTCATTGGGTTTATTTAAGGAACATATGCATGCACACACAAAAATCACCATCATCTGAACTGTGGGATGAATGCAATTAGAAGAAAGCAACCAGTTCTAATACCCTCTACCCTTCACCTTCTTTTCTTACCCTAGTGATTTAATGGGCACCCCACCAGCTCCCATTCCTATTTATGCTACATTCTTCCCCCTTCCCATCTCCACTGTAATGTAGCCCACAATATGGAAGCTCCAAAAGGGAACCCTCATCATTGCATTACCTGGGCTATCTTGAAAGCAGATCCACTGGAATCTACAATGTTGGGTGGTCTTGGCTTTTGACTAGCAAGAGCTCTTGACTTGTCTTTGATCTAATGCTTGCAATGACTAAAGCACATCTGCCCCCACCCCAGCAGTACAGTCCCATGAATGTTTACTCACAATATTATGAATAAAGGCTGATGGAGTTAAAAATCTTCAGAGGCTTAAACAACTTTAAGACTCTCTACTCCTTCCAGCTCCAGGTATTTACCCATCATTTTAATAATTAAATTAATCATTTTAATTAAAAATAATATATTTTACATAGTCGCATTTTCTTTTTCTTCTTTCTTTTTCTTTCTTTCTCTCTTTCTTTTAGTTTTGAATTGTTGTTATTATTGAATGGTGTGATTGTATTTTATATTAGTTAAATTTTTTCATAAGCCATCCTGAGGCTTGTGCAAAGTATGGGGTAAAAATGCTTTAAATAAATAACATAAATAAATAAACTTTTTTCTTTGGCAGAGGCTCGTGCTGGGGGAAACTGCCACCACTCACGAAGTCATGAGTACTACAGGTATAGCATTCTCTACCCAGATGGCTTCATTGCTTATCCATGTGAATCATATGAATCCTTTCAAGAGGTAAGACTCGGCCTGGTTAAATTCTATCAACTTAGCTGAATTTATCTGTCTGAGGCCTGTGCTGTATTGGCAACATGTTATGTATTCACTTGCTTCACCACTATAAAACTGAAATCCTTAGAATCTTAGTGGAGTTCAGGGTGCCCATGGAACAAGTCCACATTTCTATGGCTAATGTAAATTATATTGCATTAGTGGACCTTACTATAATGCAACGCCAATAGTGCGTGCTCATAGATCAAGTTTTCCAGTGGTTCCATTGTTCCAGCAAGTTCTATCACTGTTGGATTAGAAGGCTTTCATGCTGGTGCCATCTCATGCACTTTAGTGGCAGTGTCACACTGGATACTGCCACTAGGGCTCCAATATGTGAGATAATTAGAACCTTTGAATATGTGCTGGATGTATTTCCAACAGCACAGAGCAGCCACCACCCAATGCCAGTTCCAGCAATTTGTGGGGATCATTTGGCAAGATCTCCTCAATAGTTTCTTTTCCTTATCCTGCAATGGACTTTCTTTTAATCTTGACTCTTTTAACAGTCCTGTCCGGAAAGAAAAGACAAATGACTGGACAGCAGTAGTAGCTGCCATTTCTTCAGCTCACTTTCATTTCTTTCTGGGAGAAGTAGAAAAGGCTGGATTTATATAAAGTCATGGTGACTTTTTTTCCTGCCCACATGAACTGGCCATGTGCCACATGACTTGACTAATTATCCCTGTGTTGCATGGGTAGCTGCTCCAACCATGGAGAAGTGTGTGCTGGTGGCCAGCTTCTAAACCACTCAGAAGCCATGGTTTGTTAGGATCAGGAGATGGCTTGAAGCCACCCCCTGCCATGCTTCTTGCAAGGTTTGGACAACTGAACAACAATGAAGGCTATTAGGTAAACTTTGTGGTCCATTCCCAGCTTCCCCAAGAATGGAAGAAAGATGCCACCATGACTCCTTTTCCCTGGTGATCACAAGAACCCATCTGGAGTGGGTGAACTGGTGCCAATGGCAAGTAAGGAAGCAACAAAACCAAGGCCCTGGTGGGCAGAACTGGGGTTCCTGTTGGTGGAGCCTTGGTAGACTTCCAAATGTGTGACTCCTGATGCTGGACCAGCCATCACCAGTCGCCAAGGACTAATCAAGGAATAGGACCAAAGACACTCAGGACAGCAAGTGAATATTAAGCAGGCATCCCTAAATTTTGACGTTAAACATTGGGCTTAACCATTCACTGGGGTGAAAAAAGAGAGCACTAATCATGGTGTCTTCTGCTGAGATGGAATAGCAGCAACTAATTTTTGAACCTGCATCATATGTTAGAATGCAAACAAATGAATGCCTGCCCTTTGACCAATGCATCAATTTTCTCCCAGGGAAATTGCTTTCCATGCCCCAGAGAAGGCTGCCCAGTGATGGGTCACTATGCTGATCGGTTCCGTACTAAGCTGAGGAAGAATAATTCCACCTACTATTTAAACACAGGACCTAAGGAACCATTTACCAGTGAGTGCACAAACAAAAATAACTGTGATACCAATGAATATGGTTGGAACTGCAGGGAAATCTTTTCAGCAAACTCAGAATCTCTTCTGAAAATCAAAGCTGCACAGGTAGTCGTGTCTCTACCATCATTTTCCATCTGGTGGTGGGGAATGGGGATTCCCATATAGAATGGGCTGCTTGGCTAGCACTGTCAGCCAGTGCTGACAGCACCAGATCCAGATAGTTTGGGCTGGACAGATTTAGGCACACAATTCAACTGAGTTGGCTGAAATTGATTTCCCCAGCTCCTTCTCCCCACAGCAATTTCTCAAGCCCCTTTGAAATGCCACACAGAACTATATAGGACATTTTTTTGTGTACGTGATTCTTTGCAGGTCTGTAGCTAGCCTAAAAGCTTGGAGGAAGGGGCCCCGAAAGTTAATAGAACAATTCATTTTGTTTGCAGCTATTTGAATTACTTTTTGAGTGTATGAGTCTGTGTGTGTTTGTAAAAAGAATTTAGACAGCAGAGAAAATTTAGGAGGGCCAATCCTATTACAGTCCTCATAGCTCCCAGGTGATGTTTTCCACCTCAAGGGTCAATCCCATTTTTTGCTATCATTTTAGGATTTACTTGCTTTTTTTTTTTTTTTCCTAAGAAAGGAATTATGGTATTTCCATGGACCGTGGTGTGAAATTCTGGCATATTTCTGCAAGTCCACCAAACTACAGCACTACCACTTTGCAAAAGGTCAAAGGTGTAAAATTATTAAAGACTGACAAGCAGCAATCACAACATGTTTTTCATTCACCTCTTCCCAGATTTCTTAAGCCTCTTTCAGGTTCCAGTAGAATGCCACTGCTCTCCATGCGTGCAAGCCTGTTTGAGGCACATAAGGTGTGCCTGCGGCTGCACCTGCCACCAGGTATTTTACCCAAATAGCCATGTTTGGCCACCCAGCAAAAGGGCCAGGACTGGAGAACCAATAGGCATCAACATAAGCCCTCAGCCACAGCCTCTTCCCCTCCCTGCTCCCCAGTACATCCCCTTTTTCCTTTCCAGGCCCAGGGGAGACAGCAAGCACAGGTCTTCCAGCTGCAAGGGGAGGTGGTGGTCCAGGGCTAGGCTTTGACTTTCAGACTCCCAGCCCCAAGATGATGGGATGTCAGAAACCATAGGACTGAGCCCTGAAGCTACTAATTTTTAAAAATGTAAAGGTTGGGTTTTATGGCCTTCCTACAGAACTTTTTTTGCACACACATATTTAAAAAACGTTATTGCTTGGTTTGCAGTTCTTGCATTTTTTAACTTTGGCTAACCTCTGGATTCATTGTATATTTATGTAGGTTGGAGGTATAATATATCTGTCAGACTATCTGGAATAGGAACAGTGGAAGGTGAAATATATATCATTTTCCGTAGTAGAGATGGAGACACAAAGGGCTATCAAATTGAGAGGTATGCTTTATTTATGTTATAGTGAAATAACAAGTTTTGCAGAGGAAATGCAAAAGGAACAAAGAAAGGATTAATTTATATGTAACTATAATTATATCCACAGTCCAATGAATAGTTAGCCTATGTCTTTGTTTGTGAATAGCGTAAAGAAGGCAACATATGATTAGCTTACATTATCAGAGTTCAATCATTGCCAGTGACAGTCCAGAGCTACTTGGTGACCTAGTGCCTTGCATTCTCTGAACTTAATGCAATGGCAACCATATTTCCAGGAAGGAAACTCATTTGTCATCTCAGGGGACTAGATATGAATATCTGCTTCCACCACCAAAACAAAAGGGGCAACTTCTAAATCTGGGAGAATCATATGGCTCCAAGTGTATGAGAGAGGAGAAAGGGGAATCAAAAAAGACACCTGTCTGTACACCTGTTCATTAGCACCAAGGCAAGGCCATGAAACGTAGACACCTGGAACTTGGCATGCATATTAAGGACACCCTCAACATGTGTTATTTGTGATTATTTTATTTTCACAATGCACAAATTAATCTGAATGTGTAACATCCTTGGTAACTAGGGGCACATTTCCATAATCAATACAAAGCTTTGGAGTCTATGCAGTTTGTAGCTAGGGGCTCTTAGTGGATAGAAGGACAGAGTTGGTTCACCCCTTCCCCTGCTGTGGGGCAGTCTTGCCTCAGGGGAATGGAATGGGCAGATCCCACTCTCAGCGGGGTCCAGGAATGCTCCATGCCAGGCAGCAGGCCTGGGAATGCCAGTGGGATGTCTACTCTGACAAAGCACAGTGTGTCCAGCTCTTCTAGCTACATGCATTTGTTTGAAGGCTTTGCTGTGCCAAATTAATTGTATCAACCTGTGCAGACCTGGGACTGTTTGATGGTATTCTCGTAAAGTCACCTTTAGAATGAACGCTGGTTCTCCAGTACGAACATTCGTGCAACATAAACCTCCATATAAATCTCATCATGATAAAATAAAGGGAGTAAAACAATAAAAAGTGAAGAGAAATTCTGCAGTAAAATGGCCTGAGCAATCCTAACCGCATGGGGGATGGGGGGGGTTGGGGGAGATGCAACTGATGTTGCTTCCAAAGCTCTGCTTGTTGGCACCAGCCAAGGAAGGAGGACAGATTTCATCCCTCTTCATTCCGGAAGTTGATGGGAAGGAATTAAGTATGCCAGCTGCAGACTGGAATGTCTGAAGGATCATACCCTGGGCACTCCCAGAGGAATAAGCTGCCAAAAGAGAAGAAATGCACCATGAAAAAGAGGAACAAAGCAAAGATCTATTTGCATAAAAAGCATATTAAAATGTATATGTAGCTATATATTACAATTACCTAGATATACAGTACATTTCACAGCTCAGTCTTCTGTCTGGGTGCTATTGATGGGCCACTTCAAGTCCCAGATCTGCCTTCTGCTGAGACTGATACCAATACCAAACAGTCCTCTAGCAGTTCTCTGATCAGAGGACTGTCCTCTGAAAAAGAAGACACCTGGCCATCCTATGAAGGGGTTTTTGGATGCAGAAGATCCAAGACCACTTCCAAGCTGCCCTCACTCTGCTCCTGAATTACCCCTTTTGAAGGCTTACTGTCAGCAGATTTGCATTTATTTCTGCTACTGATCGTTCTGTGGCAGTCACTGAAGGTGTAACTGTGCACCCTGGTTACACAGGAAGAAGATTGTCTGCCCTAACATCTATCTTAAATGCCTCTGGCCAGTGCTCTCTATAACACTGGATGAGAAAGGAGATTTTAAAAAGAGCCAGGTGTATATGATCTAAAGAAACAATCAAAAAGACAATAAGCTGTTAGGCAAGAAGCACATTTTTTTAACAAATTACACTTTTCTACACATTTCTCACTCAATGTCCATTTAATTTGCCATTTTGTGTTAATACTTCATGAAATTGCTTACTACGTTCCTTGTGTCAGCTCAGACATCTCAGTTTTTAGAAGGCACAATAAGATCAAAAGAAGGCATTGCCATATTTTGTACTGCTAACATAAGGTTTGGTCAGTGGCAGCAGCTTAGGGGCAAGTTTAGAAGTGGATGGTCTCTTCATGGTAGTCAGAGCCAAACCCCATCAAGGCTGCACCCACAACCCACACCTATGGCCAAGATTATGCAACCTGTGATTATACAATCAAAATGAGCCTTGCCACTTTGAATTTCTGTTGAGTAATGAATGCAAGATGAGTGTATCTCTTTTTGAGGTGAAACAATGGCAGCTTCTAGGAGCTATATCTTATTATCTTTTTTATTATGAATGAATGACTTTTTATTACCTTCATACTCCACTCTCCAGCCAAAATGCTTGCAGAGTGGCTTATATGGAATTAATAAGACAGTTCCTGCCCACTGGCTTACTATCTAAAAATAAGAGATACAAGATGAAAGGGACATGGAGGGAAGAAGAAAAATGGAAACTCGGGCACAAATTACCCACACTTATAGAAGCATATGTAATTCTATTCTGCCAAGAGCAACAGTCTGGATTGACAATCACTGTTTGGTTTATTTTACTTTGTGTACTTTGGTTTCTTTTATTTTCTCTTACTTTTTTACTTTACACTAACCTTGTGTGTGCTTATGTGTTGGAGATCCTTCATGAGTCCAGTTTAGGGGTTCCAGTTTCTCAAAATGTCCAATAAACTTTTGTTCTGCTCTCATTGGGTCCACATGAAGAATCATGCATAAAGTAGTCTAACTGAACTAAAAGCTATCAGAAGCCATAGCTAATTTTTCCCATTGCTTGCAGTGAATACACTCCAGTTACAATACTTTTCTTCCACGTTAGCTGTAACACCTATTTGCCCCACAAAACTACAATTCCCAGAATGGTTTATCAGCCCATCCCTCTGATGCAGGAACTCTGGGCTCTATGTGAAAGAAAGGTGGTCACTAATGGCACTGGTCCCCAAGATTCTTTGGGGAAATAATGACTAAAGTGGAATAAAAATGTTCTAAATGTGTGGTGTGAAGGCAGGGGAGATGGGAGGTAGTGTTTGGAACAGCAAGGCAAGCTGGCCAGATGTTGCTGAAGAACAGGGGCTGATGATGAGGGAAGGCGTCACAGAAAACACTTGTGCATGCCTGGCAGACCTCTCCAGATAGGTAGTTCCCAGGAACTCTTGGGAACTGTCAAAAAAACCAATTCTTGGGTCTTAACCCATTAAATTCAGGACTCCAACGCAGTGGCAGCTGCCAGCCACAAACCAGCAAAATTAAGTCTCTTGAGTGGCACTGGGGAAGAGAGAGTGACCCTAGCTTCAAGGATCAAGCGATCCCCCTGACCACCCCCCCCAAATGAGTGGGGTGCTCTGACTCACCCTGAGGGCCCCCTCCACTACACCCTTGGTTAGTGGAGAAGAAGGGAATGAAGTTGCTTTGGGGCTGAATCAAGTGTTTCTTTAAACTCAGTAAATAATGGTTTTACAACAAGGAGCCTTTAACTATAGAGAAATGGAATTGAAAGCACTGGGCAGTGTAGTGTAACCAGCCAGTGCAGATTGGGAGGATTATGGACAAGCAGCCTCAAAGTCTCCCTCCACTGTCCCGAGGATCAACGCAGACGTGGCTCTCTGAATGTAGGAAGCAGCTAAGACATTTGTGCTTTTTACTCTAACATTAGCATAGGCCTCCTCCCCAAATTTGGATCATGCCCTTAGTGTATTTATGGCAAGGTAGGGGGCCCTCCCCATGTAGAAGAGGCAGAGAGAAGAGGAATAAGAAAAATGTATAAATGATAGGTGACAATTTGTATTGCCGTGACAGAACCGGCTTCCAGGCTTCCTTTCCTGCCAGATGAATAGAAGCAATAAGGAGGACATATAATAGTACAAAAATGACAAAATGTTCTGTAGTGCTATAAGAACGAACACATTTATTGTGTCATGGACTTTCATAGACCCGTATAGCCTAATTCATCAGATTAATGAAGTGGTCTAAAAAAGCTTGGTAGCAACATATACAACAGAGAACAGGAGAAATAGACTTATATTGTGGGCTTAAAAAAGAGAAACTATGAAATATCTGACCAGAGTTCAAGCATGCAGATGAATATGTCAGTACAGCATCTAGTCAGAGAAGCTGAATAGCAGCCCTTTCAGTCCCAAGGCCCATCTTTGATGGCCAGTATGTGATATGGGACCTACTTTTAACCTCAGAATATATACGCTTGTCTGTTTCTGTGCATCACCCACTCTCATCTTCCATATTTCAAAAGCTGTCCTGAGCAAAAACCAGAACTGCAGAAAGGAAACTGCATTCCGTTTCTCATGCTTAATGCCTCATATAACTTGTAGATAACCAGTATTCATAAACAAGAAGTTGAATCAATCAAATGTTCAGCAAGTTATTACAATGAATACCTTAGATGCTATTGTCATCCCCAGTAGATTTTACAATACCTGGATTCCAGTTTAATCATAATGACATCATCATCATCATAGATTGAGTAGCTGATATTTCACAAGCTATTCTGAAGGTCTCAGCTACTCATCCAGATGAGTTGATTGTATAGACTATAAAAGTGACAATTCTACAGCACAGCTCTTCTACTGATGCACCCTAATTAATTTGATCATTTTCTCATTTACAGTGGAACCCTTAATCAACAACAAATCTACTCAAAGGTCATTGATGTTGCGATTAAGCCTCCAAATGCTACGAGAATTGAGTTTATTTGGCATAAACAGTCATCAACTTCATTTTTGGCTAAAATGAAAGCAAAAAGAGTGAGTCTAATGAGTGGACAGGATGGGCGTGAGTAAGTACAGACATTCTGATTTGGAGCTGTAGAAAGTAAACATCAGTGTTTGCAATAATATATTGCAATTTCATTGAACACTGAGCTTTCCTGTTGCACATGATTGTTGGATTGTATCTCTTGGATGATCTCCAAAGAGCCATAAAAGGAACCTCAGCCTACACAATGGAATAGCTTTCCTATTTATTTATTTATCATTGTTGAATCAAAACAGGCATAAAAACAATAGGTTGGATCCAGATTTGGTGATAACTAAAATGTTACCTAATCACATTTACATTAAATCATTAGTCTCATTAATTTCAATGGCGATATTCCAAGCATGACTAAATCTTAGTCCAACCCAATAGATTACCAGTGTAAAATCAATAGATAATTAAAACCATCTAGCTGCTTCATTGACTCCCAGTTTGTTTCCAGGCCCAATTTCAAGTGCTGGTTTTAGAGCACAACCCTGTGAGTTGTGCTCCTGCATTTGGAGCACTCTACCCAACTTATGCTCTGCTCCTATTCACAAAAGCCAGGCAGACAAAGGAAGACAACATTAGGTCAGCTCCATTCCTTTGTTTAAACTGCAAACAATGCCCTGGAACAGTTTGCACCATGTTCAGAATCTCCAAGGTCACCTTACCCTCCTTTAAAGAAGTGCTACGGAATGCATGATCCTTCAGATGTTGTTGGACTTCAGTCCCCATCAGCTGCAGCCAGCACAGCCAATAGAGTCAGGAACAAACATTCCTTTGTCAGTCACCAAAATAAATGCATAATGAGCATATCTGTACAGTTGCACTTGAAACATCAGGGCCTGACCTCCCGTGAAGAAACATGAGATCTTTGTCTAGGACAGTAGATTTGGAGGGAAAGGGGCCATTCACTGCCAGTTAGACCCAATGTCTTGCGGTGAAGAAGGATCCTTTAGAATGAGGTGTTAGGTAGGCAGATGTTCCAGGAAAACAGCTGGCACTGCTTTCTGGAGTAGCAGACATCATGTCTCAATTTAAGGACTTCTCCCAATGGCTTCAGTCTGAATGATATTTCCTCAGAAAACTGAGGTAGTGTGGGTGAATTGACCTTGGAGACTACCTGTAGCACAGGCTAGATGACCCCTGAGAGCAAGGCACTGAGGAGGGCAACAGCAGAAGTGCTGGGGCAGCATCGTCCCACCTCAGGCAGGAGGCCATCTTGTTCCACTGATGTGGAAAAAAATGTTCCTTCTGAACATTCAGAAAAGAAGATTTAAGGAGGGGAAAGAGTCAGTAACTGGGAAGCAGAACATTTGTTGACATGAGGACTTTTGTCTCCCTTCTCCTAGGTATGTTCTTTGTGGTGATGCATCAGTAACCTATGGAATTGCTGAACTGCTTACACCTTGTTAGCATTAAAAGGAGCCAGAATACATATATGCAAAGTGCAAGATTAAAAAAAAAACTTCCTTCAACTGGCTGCTGAAAAATCCTAATAGTATGAATTGTGACTGTTTAAGGGAAGTCTTATGCAATGTTTTCCTCATTTCAGCACTGGCAAAATCATTGCCTTTCTTTTGAAAGTGAATGATCAATATAAAGTATGCAGTATTGATTTTGATCTGTTTTCTAAACTTGTGGAAGCAGGCCTCAAAATTGCAGGTGGGGATTATGTCAGAACACGATCTCCATGTCAAGAAACAAATTACTATCAAGAAGAAGTGGACACCGGTCCCAGGATATAAGTTAGCCAGAAATGTAGACATTACTGGATCAATGAGAACATAAAGGGGGATGAGGGAAGATATCCATTACTACCTTACACATTTATCTGTGGAGCAAGCTTCTCTGTCTTTGGCTTTTTGAGGGCCATTATTGTAGAGACCCTGTTTGGTCACCCTCTCTCCATGAGGATAGTTTCTCAGCAACACAACAGATGTTCTTGCTCTTCCTCCATTTTTTCATTGTTGCTTGACAAGCAGAGTGCCAGCGAGCAAGCAGGCAGTGGCATTTAATGCCCCTACTTCTCACCAAGATTTCAGGATCTGAGGTAGCTTCAGGGCTGCATCTGTTGGCTGTATACTGGAATAGCAGCCCTGGTTGTTGCAGGAGTACACCCTTGATCTACTGCTGCAGCCAGGGCCCTCATGAGCACTACCTGGGAGCCTTGGAGAAGAGCTATATAAGACCTGGCTCTTCCCTCCAGAAGCTTCTTCAGTAATGAAGGTCTTCTGACTTGCTAGGGTGCTCCTTGCTGCCTGAACTTTTGGACCTTGGCCCAGTCCTAAGGTACCTGCTCCTATTTGTGTTGCCTCACAGTGTTATTCAGTCAGTCAAGCACTCATGCCCTGGACACTGACACAAGGCTTGTTGGGGCCAGAATGAGAAACAGTGAAACAAGCAGATTGCCATGATGAAGAAAGGAGAGAAGTCCAGGGGGCTTCAGCCTGTAGGCACCTGCTGTGCTGTGGTTCCCTCAAGGAGATGCCTGATGACACTTGTCTTTCATGTTGGCTGTGCATGCCACATATGGCTCTTAGATGGTGAGCTCAAATGTAGCCACCTTGCCCTGGTGAAGTCTAGTATCAAGTTTTCATCGGGGCTGTATGTGATTCCCTTCCAGGACTTCCTCCTAATTTTCTGGTTAATCTTCACACAATCTTCTCACTTTCAATTACCAGTTAATCTGACTTCATTTGCTCTGGGACTTGCTTTTCCCTTCACCAGATTATGTTCTGCCTACCTGAGTCTAATTATGGTACTCAATGAACTTTGATGAATGGAGGAAGGAATATGTCTATTCTTTGACCACTGATTGAATTCAAGATGTCCAAGTGGAGAAAGGAAGATCTGAGTGTGTGTGTGTGTGTGTATATATATATGGGTGAAAAGAAAGTGTTGCTCACACATATACCTTCTCAGATGAAACCTAATAACCATTGGGTTGAGAACTGGCATCTAAACATTTTTGGAGATAAACAAAGAAATGCCCGCAAAAACCATAATAAAGGAATTGCAACTACCAAGTAAAACTCTTTTTGCTTCTATAGTTGCATGTGAACGTTTTTTCTGAATCTCAACTTTTGAACCTCGAAAGTACTGTGATTATCTGCAGAATTCCTTTGAAGCCAATGTTAGGTCAGGGTATTGAACATGTCACTCCCTAGATGCTGTTGGGCTGCAACTCCGATTAGCCCAGTTGGCATAACCAATGTTGAGGGATTATGAGAACTGCAGTCCAACAGTATCTGGAGGCCCACACATTCCCATCCATTGGTTTCCTTCCCATTTTTAAAGCCCTGTGGGTCTTCTGAAAGTGAGATGAGATGGTGGCATGAGTTAGAAGGGTATCCATTTATTTGATCTCCTTTTCTAGTATTTGAGCAACTTGGAAACAATTCAGATTTTGGACTGCTTCCTCCAGATTTTTTAAAAGAAGCGTTTTTTAAAAGGTTGCATGGGTTCACATGCACACTGCTGACTTGACATTTCAATGTAGAGGTCAAGAGTAGTGAGAGTGTAGAGAGAAAGAAAAGCAGATAAGTTGATCCTGAATACAGCAAAATGTTAAAATATGTTAATTTTTAACTTGCTTCCACCATTTGTCAGCGCTTGCTAAATGCACATAGATTTCAGAAATGTTAAATGCCATTCTATGCACAGAGGTCCAGATCTTCTCTAACTAGTGATCTTTCTCTTTTCCATGCAAAGGTGCACAGTTTGGCTGGCTTGTAGCTCTCCCGAACCATTTCTCTATCATTACATGGTTTTAACATGTCATCCATGGGCTTGTCATGAAGCACAGAGCATATAATGCAAATAAACTGGGCTAAAAAGTTAGGGGAATGAAGACAATAAACTCAGGGTTTTGCAATTCAAGGAATGTTATCTATGCTTCAGTGTAGACATAAAAGTAACAGGCTTCAAATTCAATATGGACAAGTACATGCTTGCGGGTGGGAAATAGGAAGGATGCTAAGGAGCAAGAATGCTGATCTGTCCATCACTTGAACGTTAACTGCCTAATGAAAAGAATGCATTGCTGAAAAGCTTGTCTTACTGCTTCTCATGCTACATATTTTTTACTGACTACTCAAGAATGTGGGTGGCCATGTTACCCTGATGAAATAGGAAGCATTTGTTGCTATGTACCTTAAGTTTTATGTGCATGCTATATAAAGGCAAAGCATTCTCTTGACTGTCTGGGCCCACTACACCAGTTGAAGTTCAGCTTTCCTATATCTGTTCGTACTTTTACTAAAGGTGCTTCTAGTAAAGATCTTACTCAAAGCCCAAGCTGAAGCTTTGTTTCTACCAAAATTTGGTGCTGTGACTGGAATCACTATGTTCCATCAGAGGCTGAACCAAAACCAGCTGAAACTCCGGAGCCTATGCAAACAGGTAAGTGACCTTTTGAAGTCTCTGTTAGGGCTGTTAGCACAGGATTGCCTATAGTTTCTGGCTCACCGCTGGTTTGGACTCATGCCATATGACCCTTCTGCTGCTACACCTGCTAAACTCAGGTATGAAATGGGGTAGAACCAAGTGAGGGGGATGTGGCCTTCAGGAGAATCCCAGCAGGTTGGATTCGGACCCCTGGTAGGCTGTGTTTGACCCACTGATTTGAAATTCAAAAATCCTTGTTCGGAGTAGTACCAAGGTAGGGGAAATGGAGTGTTGGATAATACGTATCACCCTCTGAGAGTCAGGATTGGCTGCAGCCCTCTACTGAGCAAGGTAGTGGCAAGTTGGGGTTTCTTGCTATGCAATATGTGAGAGAACCTGCTTCAGGGACAGATGTACCACTTTTGAGCAAACCTAATCAACAAGGTCATTTTCATGCTCCAGACCTCTGAGGGTTTTGTGCACTTGCTGAGCAACAGATGGAACAATGCCCTGAATGCAGATGCCACAGACACAAGGGGGGGGGGGGGAATGCACACAGTTGGATTGTTTTCATGCCACCTCTTACATAATTTGGCAGTTCATAGTTGTGTGCACAGGTGAAGTCCTTTTAGTCCTTCACACGCCTTATGACTGGGAGATACCAAAGCCTGCAGTGCAAAACATTTCAACAATATTAATTATGAGGCTGTAATGAGGTATGATTCTCTATATGTCTACCCAGAAAGGAGTCTTACTGAATTCAACAGAGCTTGCTGACAGGGCATAGGATCACATTCTGAAGTATCTATTGAAATACTATTATATAGTATCTTTAAGTTTTGTGAACTGCCCATACTGGTTTGGCTATTGGGTAGAACAGAAATGCAATAAAAATACAATATTAAGAGATCAACTGAAAAACATATAATCTATGCATTTTAAAAGGTTGTTTCATCTTTCTTACATTCATGTAAACATACAGGGTGGATCCAGATTTAGGATCCACAAGCAACTGGACTGGCAGAAATGGGCTTCTCTGTCCCTTTCTCCCTATGGCAGATCCTCCAGCTCTTGAAAAAGCAACACAATGGTCAGGGGGACCCTAATGAATGGAAGTATGTGAGACAGAGAGGGAAACCCTGAAAATCAGACAGAGATGCCATCCTTCTATCTATGGGAGGCAGATCCTGGATCAAATCTACACACATCTAATATTAGTTTCCGTAGGTGGTGGTCTTACTAATTGCCAGCTCCATTCTTGATTTGTTGACCACAGAATGCAAGGCAAGGAATTTAATTGCCTTTAAAATAATCACAGATGGAAAAAGAGTTTTCAAGTTGATATCAGTTTCTAGCTAAGTAAGATCTTTACAGACAATAATGTCTGCTCACTCAGTTTCCATTTTGTAGGCAATATGCTAATAGTGCTTTGTGTATTTATGATAACCTTGATCTGAAATACGCAGACCAATTTCCATCTTTGCATGACCTTTCACTTTCAAGAATATCCTCAAGGATGTGTCAGTTTATAAAAAGGCCATGTGTTGATTGCTGAGCTTTGCTCAGCTTTGTGAAGAGATATGAACAAGAGCCGCACAGTAAGTCATATCTGATTTCATCAAGGAAATTCTGTCTGTAATGCATTTTCATTGTATGCTGTGGCTATTCAAATAATTTGAGGAAGACACAAAATTAAATGGATGGAATTTTAAAAGTCATCAATCTTCTCTCTTTTAACATTTATTTTAGATGCCTGCCTTTTGGACCTTTGCCTTGTTACTGATCCATGCCGCTAGAGGTGAAATATCACTTTTATATTTGCCTTAGCATCATGTGGACCCCAAAATAATGTCAGTTGTACATTGCTTTTGGAGATGCTGTACTACAGAAAGTGAGTTAAGTGTGCCACGAAGCCAGGCAAAATAGAGGGAAGATGGAAACCAAATTATTATTAATATTATTATTTATTATTATAACATTTCTATGCCGCCCCTTGCCGAAGCCTCGGGGCAGCTTACAACACAATAAAATACATTGAAATACAATAGAACATAATAAATTACCATTAAATACAAAAATACAAAAAATACATTGAGTTACAAACATAATAATATAAAATTAAAATTATCAGTATAAAATAAGTAAATAAATAATATGGGAGGAGAAAAGAGAAGGAAGAAGAAGTTGCCCTGGCCAGATCACATGTTTTAACAATTGAAATGATGTTTAAATAAAAAGGTCTTTACCTGGCGCCGAAAAACCAGTAACGACGGTGCCAGGCGGACCTCTTTGGGGAGTGAATTCCATAGGTTGGGCGCCATCACAGAGAAAGCCCTCCTCCGAGTACTTACTCTCCTAATTTCTTTCATGGAGGGTTCCCAGAGAAGGGACTCTCCCACAGATCTCAAAGGGCGGTCGGGCATATACGGACGTAAGCGCTCGTTCAGTTAGCCAGGACCCAAGCCGTTTAGGGCTTTATAGGTCATAATCAACACCTTGAATTGGGCCCGGGCTTCAATGGGCAGCCAGTGAAGCTGACGGAGGACTGGAGTCATGTGAGCATAACGCCCCGTCCCCGTCAGCAACCTGGCAGCTCTATTTTGCACCAAACCAAATTGAAGTGATGTTTTAGTAAGTGAGACAAGTGGGACTTGTGACAAAACATTGCAGTGTGAAATATTCCTGTTCAGAGTTCCAGTCGTGTAGCCAGCCATGTGCCTCATGCTAATTTCTAGCATACTCCATTCCATTTCCCTGGTCCTAGATTTCTTTTTTTAATTCTCAACTGACAACACTTTGTGGACACTCTGATCTAGCTGATTTGGGAGTCCGTCCTTCCTTCCTTCCTTCCTTCCTTCCTTCCTTCCTTCCTTCCTTCCTTCCTCTATCCAAGTCTTCTGATCCCTTCCTCTTATATGTCAGTGCTGCTGCTGTAGAGATAAATGAATCATTACTTGAAATGAGTTTGCTATTGAAAATGAGTTTGCTATTCATACTTAAGATGGAATGCCTCACAAGAGGAGAGAATTTTGTAGCCTGCGTCAGGAGTCAATCTGGTCTGGGATTTAAGTCCTAAATATATATGCTATGTAGAAATGTGTAACAACATGCAGTTGCCCATTGAGAAGGAAAGAAAATGCAGCTTGGAGGAAGGCAAAATTAAAACCAAACAACAGGAGGTGTTTGTACTTAAAACTGTCTCCACAACCACTTGCCCACTCTAAATTGCCCTCCCTTACAAACCAGTTTCCCTGCAGAATTCCAAATGTGTTTCTAAGTCAAAGAAAGAAAGAAATTGGCACATGTTCTGCGGATTCTGGTGTTCCATGTTCCACAATAAGAACTGCCCCTAGTGTAGAGTAGATGAAAAATTCCTTAATCCTCATCATTTAAATTACAGGTATATCATACATAGTGTTTCTTGACAGAACACAAATTGTTGAGAGTGAGTGTGAGGGAAATATGTCAGGTAGTGGTGGAAGTATGTCAAGAAAAGGGATGTCTGGTAACTGTATCTTTAATTTATTGCCTAAAGCAACCAGTAGAGAAGAAGTCTGCTGTCCCCCCTCCCATTTTAGTAAAGCAGAGAAATGACCAAATCAGATTACTCTTAAAGTGTCAAGTCTCTTTTCCTGTACCAGTAATAGGGACAAATGCTAGTGAAATACTGCAATCCAAAAAGAAGAGGATTTCCTACAGAAGAGTCATCCATCAATAAGATACTTTCTCCCTCTTTGTTACTCTTTGTGACTACGGAGGAGCAGGCATCACTTGCCAAAGAGAAAATGGGGGGCACCATATTTTGTAATGCACATCTCATGCATAAAGGCCATCCACATCTCCATGTGCTTTCTTGGTTTTCAGAATTTACCCCTTGCCCCGTATAGCTGTCTATGGGTTTCCACAGAAGCTATTTAGGACTTTTCTTTAAACTAGTGCTTTACCAAGGCTGCTGCTGCTTCTTCCTTTGTGGGGAAATTTAGAGTATGAATCACAGAAGTTTTCCTCCAGCCTCCTGTCCCAGGAATTTTCCTCTTTGCCTTTTTAGATGTTCCCTTACTCAGCACACACTGGCACTGTGGTATAGAGCAGAACTGTGAAATTACACAGCACTTTTATAGCAAGTAATGGCAGCATCCAGGAAAACAGCTGACTTTGATGCTCTAAAAGAAGCTGTAAGAATGGCTGGAAAATGCAAGAGATGCCCTGGAAGGGTGATGACACTCTGAAAAGGACCTACTTCCACCACTGATGGATCACAAGCACACAACAGAGGTCTTGTGTAGGGAACCCCTTAGCCTAGCACTACTTTCTTTAGATTAGCACCAGCAACAGCAGAACTTGAGAAACCAAAGTGATGCCTTTTTATGCCAGAACCGAGATCACCATGCTGCTGTTAAGTATTAGAAAAGTGGTTCTATGAAAGGACAGGATGTAAACTCTTACCTTACTTTGGTCATTCACACTTTGGTCTTAAAATATAGGAAAGGAAGTTTGCTACAATCGAGTAGGCTGCTTTACTGATGATATACCGTGGGCTGGAACAGTACAACGGCCAATTGCAAGATTACCCTGGTCTCCAGAAAGAATAAACACCCGCTTCCTTCTGTATACTCGAAGGAACCCTAACAACTTCCAGGTAATACTGACTCACAGTTAAATTTGCAGGATTTTCCCATTTACTCAATAGGAAAAAAAAGTGTTAATGTCCTAAGAAAAGAATTGCTATACAACCACATGAAAAATGATATTCATGAAGCACTTATGAATTAAAGTATGTTTCTAGTTAAATTACTTTTAGGAAGGCAGAGAAAAATAATGTGAATATTCTTTTACTATTCCCAGGAAATCACAGCAGTTAATCCAGAAACTATTGATTACTCAAACTTTAATGCCAGCAAGATCACTCGCTTTATTACCCATGGATTTATAGATCAAGGTGAAGAAAACTGGCTGTCAAACATGTGCAAGGTATAGCACAATGTAATATTCACACAATCATTCTGAAATCACTTTGTATCCAGACAGGCCACCCTAAAAATTATCATACCTCTTTATCTATAATCTATCTGCCACATGTAACATGATTTTGAAATGTTATGACTGTGCATTTAATTATAAAGTTCAGATTTTAGCCTACTAAGAATAATAGAACTTTATTCTTGAAGCAATCTAAAGGTTATGAAATCTAATATCATATACTGAAGCCTTACCTGCCACACCCAAATGGATCTAACACTTTGGTTCCTAAATGTAAAGTGATCATTATCCAAGGAAATGGAGGGTATTGCTAGGAAAGCTCCAAGTTCATATCTAACGTTACAAGTTTGCAGAAGAGGTTAGTCCTAAAGTAAAAAGTTTCCAGTGTGGAGAACTCTGGATCAGAGTTGTAGCAGTCTAGCTGTGCCATGCTCCAGAATACTCCATTTCTCTCCCCCCTCCCCTCATTTTCCATCCTTGCCTAATAGATGCTCAGTATTACATGGCTATTGAGGATGTACCATCCTTGCTGAGCTGTATTTATGACCCCCTCTACACCTAGTATTTTCTTTTACATTTCTGCAAAGTTTCCCATTTCCTCAGGCATGCTATTACCTTCTTCCTGTATGTGGATTGTGCTGTTTTGGCTATGTAAGGACCAGCACTCACCCCAAACACCAGTAACATAGGTCAAGGAGCTCAAAATATGAAACTGCAGCCAGACGGCCACCTACGAAGATGGCTGTCCACACTTCTGGGAATAATGAGACTGGGTTAGATTGCAAGGGGAAAGGTTCCACTTCCACAGTGACAGCAGAATCTGTATTTCTTCTGTTTGCATCAGAGGATGTTTGAAAAGGAAGATGTGAATTGCATCTGCATAGACTGGAGCAGTGGCTCCAGGTGTTCATACACCCAAGCATCAAACAATATCCGTGTGGTGGGAGCTGAAGTGGCTTATTTTATCGATACCCTTAAGGTAAGAGAGCCTGCGGTTATGACATCATAGTTCTGAATCTTGCAGCTATAAGGCTTCCAGGACAAGAAACAGACTTTAATTTGATAAAGTCTGGACCCCCCTAAAAAAAGCTTTCCCAAGAACCATGTGATATATGAAACAACTAAGCTGATAGTGATTTTAGTGTCAACATTGAGTCACCAACTTCAGGGATATGGTATCAGTGGCAAAATCATTACTGACATATTTTAGTATGAAGCTGTAATCTGAATAATAAGTTTTGAATATACTGTCTTGAAATCTATGTTGCATACTCTGGTGAACTCCAAATGTAGAACTTGCAATACATGTATTAACTATGCACTTAATTTAAAAAATGCAGCACTATGCAAAACTCTGAGAAGGGAAATATATAATATAATAAGTATACACAGACCTTACAAATTGTTTGGAAAGGAAATAGCATTTTCTTATTGGGATAACATATTAAAAGTATTTCCTGGAAGCCTTCTTTCAAATCAAGATAATTTTCATTACTTAACTGTATAGCACATCATTGTTATATGAAGTTAATCCGCAAAACAGCCCTTTGGAAAATTGTCGGCAGTGACATGGTTGGAGTCAGAGGCCACAAAAATACAGATTCTTCACTGTAAATGGGCTGCTTCTTCCCGGATCCTTCATTTCTTCCCCTATCCAATTTCAGATTAGTGCATAGCAAAGCTTGACATGTTTGAGGCAGACTTCTTATCATGGAGACAGCATTTGTAGCATCCTTTTGCAAATGTGGATTCCAGTGTGATGATACAGCTAGTCCTGGACATTGCAACCAACGTCCATAGACGCAAATGGCACATGACACAAAGCAGCAAACAAGCTCAGCATTGGCATGGGCTGCCATGATATGAGAATGCTCATTTCCTCTCATTTATTTAAAAAAAAGTTTGGTCAAGGGGAAGCTTGTAGGGTGCTTATATTATTATTATTTAAAAGTATGGTCCTTTCCTACAACAATGGTACATATTCCCCAGTAACTGACTGGGTTGTCATGCGACACCAGGCAACCCTACATGGTGCTTGGTTAATTGCCTGGATGTGCCTGACAGCTGATTAAGTGGTTTCCACCCTCCTCGCTCCTTCTGCTGTTGCCATGCCTGAAATTCAATCTCATGCTGGATGGCTGAAGCAGCTCCTGCAGCAGCTCCTGCTCTTTCCAGGGGACTCTGTGGTCTCTGCATACCAAGACGATGGAAACTATGGATTTGAATGATCAGAGGAACCATGGTAAAATGTGGAAACCATAGAACAGACAGTTGTTCTCTTTGTGGTTGCTGAAAACCAAACATAGCATGCTTAAATACCACGACAGGGTTTGAGTGAAGTGGTAGACCATCCCGTGCAAGAAACCATCATATCTTGTCATGTTGTGCAAACCTACCCAATACATTTAGGATCAGGGCAGTAGAGGCAAAACATCAGTTATGATGATACTATGATTTAAATGAATTAAAATGCAAAGCTATACATATTCAGTGCAATTATTGTTTTCTCATTGTGGCTGGGAAACAGGTTGGGTTAGTTAGTTTGGTTTTTGCTCTGTCAGGAATATAGAAGCAATTTGCAAAGCTGTGTTGGAGAAGAGAAGGGGGAAGAGAAATGTTAGTTGTGTGCTTCACAACTGAAATAGCACAACATGCCCACTGCTGAAGCCCCAACCCACCATAACATTGTTTAGTCCAGAATCTCAGACTACCTACTTGAACCACTGCAGGTGGACTTATGGTAGCTTGCTTCCAAAAATACATGGCCATCAGTGGATCAGGGCAATCAAATGAAGCCTACAAAAATTTGGTACACTTTAATAATTGATCCTGAAGGAGAGAGTCTTCCCCAAGGTCACCAAGTAAAATCCATAACTGATATTTATAGTCAGAAGTTCCATGTCAAAATCCAACAATGGTTCTGTGCACTGGGATATAGGTCATTGCATTCACTCTCAGTACAATGTTCATTGTATTTCTATTCATCACAGAGAAATGAGTTAAGAACTTACTGGGAAGGATCTGTAACCCAGAAAAAAGCAACTTGAATCCTTTTCTCCTGGGGCTTTGCCACATGCTCTTACTTTCAGACTAAGTAGTAAGTCTCTCTCCCTCTCTCTCACACACATGCATGCACTTATGCACAAACATACACACATACACACACTTTGTGTGCAAGTGTATCTGCTGAATGGATCAAAGGAATTTGCTTCATCATACTCCACTTTACCTTCAATTCAGATTTAACTAAGAAGATGTCAGCATGTACACAGTGGCCATGAAGTAGATAGACTGAACCGAATTGCAAGCTGAAGGATTGGTAGAGTGCACACACTGCTATCGACATATCTGTTGTTTTACTTACAATTGCTTTTGCCATTAGGAAAAGTATGGATACTCTCCATCCATGGTACATTTCATTGGCCACAGTCTTGGGGCACATGCAGCTGCTATGACAGGGAAAAGAATAAAAGGACTTAGAAGAATAACAGGTAGGCTAATGCAATGCAGCACAAATTGCTATCAGATCAAACAGTGCTGAACTGGAAACTTATCTGGCATATGACACTAATGTAATTATTCTACCCACATTACCAAGGTTGTAATTAGTGGATGACTGTGAATATACTTTGGATTGGGTAGTGTACACCCCAGTCTTCTATAGAATGGCGTTCGAGAGTCCAACAATGTAACACAGGCTTGTATGTCACAAGAATGGGGCAGATTTAGCAATTGCCACAACGCACAGTTATTTCAGTTGTTAGCAGCCCAAGATACAGTCTGATAGGAGTTGTATCAGTAAAAGATTTGAGTTTTTTTTCCTGTTGGTGAATGGAAGTGAATCCTCATCATGTGGTCATGAGAGGGGAGAGGATCAAGAAAAGAGTTGCCATTCTATAGGCTTGACATTTGATTGCTTCCAAACCCTCAGCCAATAAGGAATCTCTATAAGGGGATTCTTATGGGCCTTCTTAACCATAGTTCTCTATATAATTCACTACATTGCTGCCCTCTGCAGCCTGCTCCATTTCCCCACCTGTCCATTTGGCATTAACAGCAAACTGTTTTATCTATGCAGATGGCCCTATTCACATGGAGGAAGGCAAGACCTTTGGAGTGGAAAATTCTCATATCTTAGTGTACCTTTCTAATGTTCTTGACCCAGAAACTCCCAGGTGGACAAACTTTTAAAGAACTTCTAACACAGTTTGCTGTGTGACTAATGGCCAAAGCCTTGGGTTCCTTCTACACCAAACCTTTCTTTTGGAATTACTAACATTGACAAACTTGTGCATCCCAATGTTCTACAACAGAGCAGCAGGTTTTTCTCTCCCTACCCCACTCCTGATTTGATTTATGATGATTTTCTAAAAGCAAACAAATTAGTATGACTGTAAATCACAACCTTAACCCTTATTCTACTTTGATATTGCTGCCTACAGAGGGAAGAAGCACCATTACCAGTTTATTTCTACCGGAGTAACTTCTCTTAGCTACCTTTTAGTGTTGATTTATTTTACTGGTTTACCCTCATTATTTATTTTTCTTCTCATTTCAACTGAGGAAAATAGAAACAACTGTAGCTAAATAAAAAGGGAAAAGGTGGGGAGGAGGAACCTTGTGCTACACTCACAGATGTCTGTGAAAATGTTCACTAGCCTCAAATACTTTTCTCAAGAGAGTGAGGTTCCCTGGCACAAGAGTAGGAGGTAGCTTCAACAGGAATAAAAAACTGCTGACTTTTTCTTTCTTGGTGAAGAATTCATTGCCATTAGGCCTTCTGTGGTTCAATAAGACTGGTTTCTAAATCTTGATTGACCCCTCTTCTAAAAATGTGTATGTTTACAGGCCTAGATCCAGCTCAGCCTTATTTTCAAGGCACACCAGTTGAAGTCAGACTGGATAAAAGTGATGCCGATTTTGTTGATGTGATTCATACTGATTCAGCTCCAACCATTCCATATCTGGGTAAGTTGATCACAGTACATAGCATACAATAATAAGCATGAGATCTCTCAGATTTAACACATGCTTTTCTTCTATGAATTTCCCAGGCTTTGGGATGAGTCAAGCTGTGGGTCACCTTGATTTTTACCCAAATGGAGGAGAACACATGCCAGGATGTAAGAAGAACCCCGTTTCACAAATAGTGGACATTGATGGAATCTGGGAAGGTATGAGCAGAAGGGCTTCATGGGCATTGCTATGATATATGTGCAACTGTATTGAAGATGTAAGTGGTTAGGACCAGTCAATATAAAAACTATTGATTGCTTTGGTGCATTTGCCATCATCTAAGTAGCAGCTATTCATCAACTGGAATCAGGTTTCATGAGGAATCATTAGTGTAACAGATTCATCCCCTCTCTTGCCTTATCCAATACCTCAGCTGCACAGGCCTCCAAGAAACTTAGGAATGAAAGTATAACAATCAATATTGTAATAACTTCATATAGCATCTATGGTATGGCTGCATCTAAAATACCATTTTCCACACAAGTGCCTCCATGGGAACATTTGAAAGGAATTTCAATGCAAATAAAATTATGCATTATGCAGGGCTGGTGTATTAGAAACACCAGCCCTGTTGAGATGCAGTCATGAGCCTCAAACTTATTGGAGAATTTCTAGCCAAGGTATCTTGGATACAGAGTAAGCTTCCATATATATAATTATTCAATTGATTACTTGGATACACATCAGCCTAAATATTTCCTCCAAGCCAGTGTCCCAGAGGACTTGGCATGTAAAATTGCTCTGTCTCCTTTCCCCACTGCATTCATGAGCCCTTTTCTGTTTGACACAGCTTTTTCCTCCTTTCCCCCAGAAATTACCTTTGTAACCTCCAATGTGACAGCCCCTCCAAACTGCCCAAGCAGCATATTGTAAAGGTTGTCAGTTTTACCACCCTCCTTTAAAAACATTAAGCAAAGAAATGTATGCATTTTGGTGGGTTTTGCTGTTGTTAATGATATTAATAAAATATTAATTGGCCTCAGTTTTCAGGGGGCAGGCTGGCAAAAAGACTAAAAGGAAAGGCATTTGCCCAGAAACTTGAGGATCTGAGCTCCAAATCATAAAAATACTCCTTTGAACCCAAAGGCAAGTGGTACTGGAATGCCAGAACCACTTTGCAGCAAGCCAGTCTTGAGTGCGTATGTTTTAAACAATCTGAAAAATCAAAGTAAATTTTAAAAAATCAGGAGGTGAGGAAGAGCAGCAGATGCCAAGGAAGGTGTCTGTGGGTACATTGAAATGAAAACAGAATCATAAAGTGTGTTTCTTTTCCACAGGAACCCGTGACTTTGTGGCCTGTAACCATCTGCGGAGCTACAAATATTATTCAGATAGCATTATTGACCCAGATGGATTTTTGGGTTACCAGTGTGCTGCATACAACCTATTTGAAGCAGTAAGTTCCTTGTGTATCCCAAGAACTATTCTGAGAAATAAGCTCGTGGAGTTATTTTGTCATGCACATTTAGTTGAGTGAAACCTGCTAAGATGCACTACAGGAACAAGCCTTGGGTTAACACAATCTCTTTCTCTTCTCCCTCTTTGCGCCACTTAATTGATGACTCCCTAGTTTTCAGCAAACCACTTTGCAGTTGCAGCCTAAACAGCAAATTGTGGTTTGCACTTATTTCTGGAACAGGTTTTCAAAACTGATGTAAAACTGTGGTTTCCCATCCTGGTTTTGAGAACTGGTGCAAACTATAGTTTACTAGTTTGGATGTAAATGGTTTCCCAGGAGCCTGAAAGTAGCCAATTCAGAGTGCATGAAAGAAGGAGAAAGCAAGTGAACCTGTAGTTCACGCATGCAATACCTAGCCATATGATCTGATCCACTTTAAGGCATATGGTTCTCGTATGACTGGTTAAGGTCTATCTGGGAGTAATTGGAAAACTTTTTATGGGGTTACTGAGCTGGAAGCAAAATGATCTTGTAGGGGTGTCATGACAACTTGAGACAGGTTAATAATGAAGCAATGATCATGGTGGTATTTTCTAAAACAGGAACAATCACTTCTTCAAATATAAAAGTACTAAAATAATTGAATTCTAGGATGCTATTTTTCTGTGACAGGTGGAAAGATTTGTATAATATCATCTTATTGGCTAATGGGATATGTAAAATATTTATATAGTATAGGACATTGGGGAACATGTTTAAGGACACATACCATTAACCATGTAGATGAGGATTATCATTATCAATACTTAGATGATAAATGATGGCACATTTTTACTTTCATAATAGATGTGCAGATTGCAGAGTTTGAAAAGAAGGCAGTGTCCTGCAAGAGAAGGACTCAGTGGCCTTCTGGCCCCTTCCAACTCTACTATTCTATGACTCTATGATTTCTGGTTGCTCTAATTTTTCACTGATGGTTATCCTGCTCATTTTTGAAATGTTTTCATAATATGGCATGGGGTCTCCAGGTTGTTCTTCAACAAAGAATATTATTGCTCCAGGCCAGGGCAAGGAAAGTGAAGAGCATTATTAATAATGACTTTCTATCAGTAGAACAAGTGTGAAGAAAATTATTGCGGTAATGAACAATTAAAAAAGAGTTTTTCCTTTATTTTAAATTAGGGCAGCTGCTTCCCATGCCCAAGTGGTGGATGCCCTAAAATGGGTCACTATGCATATGAATATAAGGACAATATCACCTCTGGATTGATGAAGCTTTACCTGAATACTGGAGATGCCAGGGATTTTGCCCGTAAGTTCCCAGCATGCATCTTAACTTACCTTTTTGTAGTAAATATTGAAAGGTGGCCTTTAAGCTGCATTTGCTTTCTCAAAGGCCTGTATGAAACAGTGCATTGCTTGAGATGAATTTATTTTCTATAATGGTCCAGTGATTACCTTACGTTAATATAAAAGAACATTATTTTAAGCAATTATATTATTAGTATCTGACTCCACATCATTTAGCAGAAAAGAGCACGATTTAATGACATTTGTGAGACATGCAGACAGGGATAGATTTTATGCACACATGGTTGGAGTACGGCAAGCCAGTAGATTTTGGAAAAAAATATTATGATGCATACAAACACTGGAGGGGATCCAGATTTAGGCACATACAGCTTGGCTTCCCTGCCCCTCACTCACCATGGTGGCCCCTTCTTCCCCCTGAAAATGCAGTTTCAGAAGGAGGATGCTGAATGGAATGAGCTGTGGTACCAGGGTGCTAGATACAACCCAGGGGAATTAGATATTCCAACCCTCTGAAGCCTTTTCCTATTTTATTAGGCTATCAAAAAGGTGATGTTTATTCCAGCTATTTGAATTAATTGATTTGTAATAGTTGCATGCATATTGCAACTTATAAGAAAAAGATGATTAAAAAGAAACAATCAAACAGATCAGAAAATGGAGCAGCAGCAAGACGGTTGTTTATTAGCTAAGGCATGCTTGTGTATATTTCCAGGAAGTGTTGGAGACATGTCTCATTTTCTGCATCCCATACAGAGGGAGAGCATCACTACTGAGAAGACCCACTTTTTAAATGTTAGGTGGCAATATTCTGTTAGTTGTAAAACCACCAGCAAGGTTCCGTGGAAGTTCTGGGTGTATATAGTGGAAGATAGTCCTTTAATTAGGTATTCCTATAATTCAGTAGGAAGCCTTTTAACAGCAACCTTGTCTCCAAGTGCTGCCCAGCCACTGCGCCCACTAGAAAATAATGATTTAATAAGGTTTGGCATTACGCTGAAAAGACTGAATTGTTGCAGTGGGAAAAGGGGAGGCAAAGGCTGGATTCTTTCTTCACTGTCCTGCTAAAGACTGAACCTAACAAATGAGTGGTGTGAGCCAGGCATTCCCTCTGCTAGTGCCCCATTTATGGAACTTGCTCCTTAGATTTACTCCCACAATTCAGTTGTTCCAAAATCAAAGATGCTCTTCTTTGTTCAGGTGTTTGGACTATACAGCGTTGTTTAGGGTGGTCCTAGTGAGAAGTGGTCATTGCTGTTTTATGGTATTTTGGTATATTTTACTTCATGGTTGTTTGGCATACTGGTTGTTAACACAGAGAAAGAATAAATAAATGGCAAAAAGATAAACCTTTGAGACTCCACTGATTGCCATGAACTAGAAATTTAATAGGTACAATATTTTTTCCACAGTGTGTGTGTATATGCACACACATGCTTTAGAGAGAATATGAATATTTCCTTTATAATAAGGGTAAATGATACAGTATAGATAGTACTGATTAATGTTTTATTGCTAACATAGGGCAATGTTATGCATGCTATATATGCTCTGTTGATTTTATATTCATATATATCAAAGCAAAAGCAAAACACAGAAATTCCACACAAGGTGATCTTTGCTCTATTGGGGTGGATTTCCACCTTGCAAAAGGAACTGTAAGCAGGGGAACATGCCAAGTAATCTTGAATTGCATACAGCCAGATGCACTGACCTAGCTAGTTCCTTGCACACAAAGATATCACAAGCTGATACGTGTGCCAATATACCTTTTTTAAGTGTGACTGGATGCAGACATGCATTGCCTATGTACTCTAATTGTGTTCCTGTGAATTGCTACATGATCAAAACAAGCATGTTTTGTTTGCATTACTAGTGATACATAATTTATTCAGTTCGCCAGCTATAAAGACATCAGATCCATTTTCTTAACCTTTTGGCCAGAGAAGATTGTATATATATTTTAAGTGTTGGCAGACATTTTTTAACAAGTTAGATTTTATAAACCATTGCTAAACTTCAGCAGGCCTCAGTTTTTTTTAGAGAAGAGAATACCAGAAATCAAAATTAAGTGTAAGTTAAGAATAGTACATCCTAAATAATAGCAGAAAATCCCTGACAAAAACGAAGTCTTGTTTTTTGTGTTGTGTAGGTTGGAGGTACAAGGTATCAGTCACAATTTCTGGAAAAAGTGCTGTCCGTGGGCGCATAAATATTGCTATATATGGAACTGGAGGGAATACAAAGCAGTATGAAATTTACAAGTAAGTTCAATAATGTCTTTTGGAAAATTACATATTTCATAATATACAATTCTTTTCTGCTTTTCCTTGTCTATTTATCTGGGAAAAAGATTTGATAGTCTTTTAAAAGTTTTGCAGTGACCAGAAATACACACCATTTTCTAATATGGATTGACATGGATGAACATATTCTGCTACATTTCTTCCAATTTTATCTCCACAGCACTTAATTTGCCCTTTCCAAGATATATGTCATTTCTATTCTTCTCTTTTGAAATGAAAATGTGAGAATGTGTCCTGGGAACAACCCTAGCTTGGCTGTCCTGAGTGCTCATGGTTAGCTTTGGGCTTAATAGAACCTGCCCAGAGAGACTTGTGGGAAATTAAGGGGACAACAGCTAGACAGTCCCACTTCATCTGGAAGCATTCTCAGTTGCCAGTAATAAAATATTAAAATATTTCAAATAAAGATTGGGTGCAGTGGAGTACTTCAAGGAGGCATCTTGGGGATACATTGGGTTCCATGGACAGCTAATTGCTTTCCACTCAGATAGAAGACATTAGTCTCTGCAAAACCCTCTGAAGTGGTTAGTTGATATGTCTACCAAGAGAGAGGGAAAGAGGGGGACTTGGAAAGAGGGTGAAGGAATGGTGTCAGAATGAGAGGAAACTAGAAAAGGAGTAGTGATGAGAAAGAAAAGGGTGGCCCTATCCACTTGTCCAGTACCAGCAGATAACTGGGGGGGGAAAGAGACCTAGAGAGCTTCCAATGATGTTTAGATAGAAAAAAAGGCCTACAACTCCCAGCATTCCTCACTTATTATTTGGAATAAATGACTGCAGAGTTCTCTGAAAAATGTAGTCTCCAATCTTGCAACTGGTAGTATTATAAAAAAAAACTGACCCCTGAGGAAGCCCCTACTCGGGGAAGGTGGAAAGTATAGGACTCCTACTTGAAATAAAATTACATGTTTCTACATCTTATTCCATTCACCCCTACTGGATATCATGGAGTGGAAAAGCTTGACAGAAAAGGATTCCCATGACAGTTTTGTTATTAGGGGCTAGTATTGCTAAGGAGGGAAAAGGCCAGCCTCATGTAGCAGAATTACATTTGGAAAATTCTGAGCAGAACAAGACCGCAAGCAGCAGGAAAAACGGCCCACTAGGCTGGGCCATCTGGTTCATGAGGCCTTGGGTGAGGCCTTCAGCCTTCCCACAGCCCTACCCACTCAACAGAGAGAGGCAGCAGCAAAGTGTCTGAGATGGCTTTGATCATCCTACATTTCCTATGGTTAAGGATGTTTGCAACTGGTTCTGACCTTCTCTTTCCTCCATCACCTTCCTGGCCCAGTGAAGATGACAAAGGAGCATAACTGACATCTCACTGGCCTTTGCTTACCTAGAACTGAAATTCATTCTCCAGGCTAGGAACCAGCTGGAGAAGCATTTGTCCAGCTGGCGCCTTGGAGCCGATGGCACGCCAGTCAAGGTTTGTCTCTCTGGTGAGGAGGGAAGCAGTTCCTCGACCGAGGCACCAACTGGAGAAGCTTCTGCTGGGAGTCCAGGGTGTCAGAGGATGGAGATTCACCCCCTGATATAGATGAGTCCCTGCCCACTGATCCCATTTGGCTAGTGGAGTGGTCTGGGTGGCCACTCACTCCAAATAAGTCCTCCACCATATCTATGTTCACACATAAGAAAAGAAACTTTTTTAGTTCAAGTCACAGGTCTTGTGTCTTAATCTGTGCTTCTTACTGTACTTGTTTAAATTTGATTGTAAATCTGGCTTTTAAATTCTGTAATATAGTTTTTAAAATATATTTTATTGTATTTGTATTTCCGTATTGCATTGGTAGTTTATGTGTTGTTGTGCTTTGTGAACTATAGAAATAAAACAAAGTAAAGTAAATAAATAAATAAACTACCCAGACAGCTTAGGCTATTGGGTAGTGTTGGGATATAATAAATAATAATGAGTTGCTAACACAGAGCCAACATAGAAGCAAACTCATCAATGGTGCTGGAAGCAAGAATTAGCTTCTGGCTCTTTGTGTCAGGTAATAAAACTAGGATCTTGTCTGGATTCCCATTTCAGGCTCCAACTCTAATGCCACTTTCTGGAATCCCAGGTTGTTGCCAGAACTCTCCATGGGTCCTTTGTTAGTAAAATGTTGTACTGAACACTTTGAGTATCTTACACATAATAGGAAACATATGGTGCCTGCAATGCTAGCCACTCTGGTTTTCAGTGTCTCCTTCAACAAGCCTTCTTAATGTTTTCTAAATGGTTGTGATTGTAAGCTTCCACCTTTTGTCTGCCTTGACTGCCTGAGCTAAAAGCCTGTTAAAGTATAGCTATAACAAATGTGACTCATGGCCACCTATTTATTTAGTCCTGCTGCCAACACAGTTTAGCACCAGGAAGTAGATTTAATAGCAAAGACTTTTAAAACAATTTCTACAATAAGTCATTTTCATCCAGACTGAATTTAGTCTGGCTGTCAGGCAATATTCGTAGTGGAGCAGTGCAGACCCTGGCACAGACCCTTCCCAACTGAGAGGAGGAGTATTTTCCTGTCAAATATGAGCAGAAAAACCTTTCAGTCCTGCAAGATGCTTAGAGGTCAAAGGCATTTTTTGGACATAGACTGAGGTGACCCAGGCCCTTTCAGAATCTGCAATCATTTGGAAGACTCTATGCATGTAGGCTATCTGATTTGTGGGAGATGCTTGCCCCTTCCAAACTACAGCTGTCTTCTGATTCTTGCTTAGTGTTTTCAGGGGACTGGAAGGACAGTAGCAGGGGAAGCCCATTTCAATCAGCCCAGTTGATTCAGTATAAATCTGGATCCAAGTCTTTGATGGAGTGAATAAGCTATGGCGATTCTAATCATGTGGGAGTGTGGTAGAGTTGCCAGCCCTTGAAAATGAACCTTCAAGTATTTCAGTCAGAACAGGCCTGGGCATGCAAGCTGATGTTGGGGTTCTTGGTTGATCTGATGTCAAACCACAGAGTCACCATCAGGTGTTTGTATGTACCAAAACAGCCCATATCCATTGTAAATGCCAATGTCCATTGCTTTTCTGACAACAAGCTGAAAAGCATAACTCCCCTCAACAACAAAATGGTGGGTCTTTTTTTTTTTCTGTCTCATTTGATCCTTAAGAGATGGTTGTCTATAACCACTAAGCTGAGCATCACCATGCAGCTCTGCTTCCGCAACTTCTCAGGGAGTTGTGGAAGCAGGATCATGCTGGGCTTAACATGTGTGGCCAAGAGCTGCGGGCCCTTCTTCTAGATTGCCACATAATGCAATCAGCTTGTATGTCCCTGTTGCACTTAGTAGTTGACCGAATTCAATCTTCAAGCAGTCCAGTTGGAAGGATATCTCTGTGTTGACAATATTAACTGCAGAAATGCATTTGAATTGCTCACATGTTTAGCAGATTATTTGCGCTCCATCCCCCAATACTGGCTACTGAATGGTATTGGATGCCCTTGAACAAGCAATTTCCCAGAAATCATAATCCAACTGACCAGTCAACAGGAAAAGATCCTGTTTCAATTAATGTTTGCCCTCACATACTGTGAAATATTGGTATTGATGAACATCACTTATACCTCCTTAAGCCAGGCAGTATAGACATCAATTTCACTGATTCTGAAATCAATTTTGGGGCTGTAACTCTTATTAATGCCTTTGAAAGAATTACATCATAAACCTAACCTTTCTCAAACTGGGAACAGCAAGGATTCTTGGGAAAGATGAAGAAGATGGACATGTGTATTTCTAAGTGTAAGAGAGAAAGAAAAAGAGAAAATACTTCCACATGTGCATCTTTATATATGGCATTCTTCTTTCTTTCTAAGGGGGAAGATCACACCTCATGAGACCTACACCAACCAGATTGATGTAAAACTTAATGTTAGAACAGTTACTATGGCCAAGTTTCTTTGGAACAACAATATCATAAATCCAACACTTCCCAAGCTGGGAGCATCAAAGATTACAGTGCAAGATGGAGAATATGGGAACATGTATGTACATATATATTATTTTTTAAAGCACTGATTATTTATTAAGCATATGTAATTATCTTTGTTCTATACATGGGAGCCTTAAGATTTTAGTTTTGCATGTTCGTGTCTTTAAATAAAAGATGCTGATAAATATATATATACTACCCCATAGCCAAAGCTCTCTGGACGATTTATGCAGTTCATAAAACATGATAAGAGTACAATAAAAATATACAATCAACAAAAATTGAAAGTTTAAAATAGATAATAAAATCAGACAATAACATGGAATAATGAAAGAGAAAGGGGAAAGGAAAGGAAAGGAAAGGAAAGGAAAGGAGAAAAAGAGAGACTGAAAACATGTTTTCAGTATAGTTTAAGCACTGTAAAAAAAAAACTTAAATGCTTTAGTAAAGTAATCTTATCAATGGGTGAGTAGAGGGAATCCAACGCTCTCTCATCTCTACTAGGAGAGGAAAAGGGGAGCAAGGTAGCCCTGGCCTGGTTGTTTCCCATACCCAACTTTTACTTCCACTGTTTCTTTTCCATTGGCTGCAGTGGAAGAGAAATTATATACACCAGGTCCAGGGCTAGAGTACATTCCTTCCATCTCTGGGGACATGTCAGGGAAAATACCTTTCCCCAATGTCCCTGCTCCCAACATACCCATGGAATACTTCCTTTTTACCTCTGCCAGTCTCAGTGCTCTGGGATTAAAGAGGAGAGGGGCACAGTTTCCACACTGACTGGAAGAGAGTTTGCAAGGCTGGGCATCCTTCTTTAAGGCTGGACCTCTCTTTCAGGGCTTGGAAGGGGAGAGCTGAATCATCCTATGGCCCTGTGATGCTCATCCAAGGAACAAAGAATTGTAGCCTTAAATATACAGAGGCAAATAGAGAGAAATAGGCAAATGCTTGTAGTTTAATTACATTTAGGCTTATTTGTAGAGATCAGTGTGAGTAGCCAGTAAATACTGTTTGCTGAATTTCAGGACATTTTGCAGGTCAGGTGTCAGTTTCTTTCTAGGGTATTTTCTACCAAAGGATGTATTGTGCACTTGTGATTCCTTACCCGCAGTTGTGTTCAGGCTTTTTAGACCAAGCTGTTTCAGCTCTGCTTTTCAGAGTGCTTTCCTGTTATATCAGGGGAAATGAGCTGTTAGATTACAACAGAAAAAAGGCACTATATCTCCTAGGGCAGTGGTGGCGAACCTATGGCACGCGTGCCACAGCGGGCACACAGAGCCCTCTCTGTCAGCATGTGGGCCATGTCACCCCAGCATTGCCCCAGCAGCCGAGGATCGGATAACAGCGAGCATAGGGGCCACGCTCATGCTCAGAAAGGAGTAGTGGTGCCAGGTGATGACATCATGAGCCGTGACTCATTAGCCGCGACTTGTTCGAGCTTTCGCATGGCCGGTCAGTGCGCTGCCAAGGCGCTATATATATAGCGCCTATATATATATATATATATATATTTTTTTTTGCTTGGACTGGCTGTGAGGTGTTTTTTCTAAAGTAAAACCTCAGTTTTCAGGTTTTATTGCAGTGTTGGCACTTTGAGATAAATTAGTGGGTTTTGGGTTGCAGTTTGGGCACTCGGTCTCGCCATCACTGTCCTAGGGTATTTGCACTATACCACCTCAGCACAGCTCCACCTAGAGGTTGTGTAGCAGAAAATCAGAAAAAGAAGAAAAGCTGAGTAAAGCTTGGATTGTAATGTTGCAACATAACAGAAAGGGGATACAGTGCTTAAGAGTACACTAAAATGCCTTGTACAGAAAAGCCCTAGCTATGGTGACACAGATTTTGTGGGCCCTGTTACCAAATCTATAGAGCCAGAATATATCTTTCTGTGTAATTTGATGAGCATAAGCTACGACCTTGCACCACAATTCAGAGTTCCAATCACAGAGTTGGACATGTACACAGAGACCTGGCATATTTGCTACACCTTTGAAATCTTGGCAGGGGGCTCACAGGGGCTGGCGAGTGCCCACTTAGTCTGAAACTTGGTTTAGGACTTTCTGCACAGTGGCATCACCTGGCAGAACTCCCTCCTAAGGGAAGCCAAGCTGGCTGGCCAGACATTGCAAGTTCTTCCTGTTTAGGAAGGCTTTTACCTTATCAGTTTTGAGTTCTGTTGTATTTCAGAGTGCATAGGGTTACCTTGCACTTAGAATAGAGGTAAGCAATGTGAAGCGTTCTAGAGGTGGAGGGGTGGGATGGGGGGAGACTGGACATCCCAGAATCTTTCAGGGGTCTTATCCCTCCTTTGCCACAGCCACAACAAGAAGTGGGCTAATGCCTGCTTGTCCAGTGATTCTGTGGGGCGGTAAGGCAAATGCCCCCCAAATTGCTTTTTGGCAGACTGGGGAAAATGCAACTCGGCGGGGAAACAGGACACACATCCCCACAGTTGTCTGGTTTCCCTGCAGAATTGTGTTTCCTGCAACTATTAGTTAGGTTGGCAGATTGCGGCAAAACAGTGATTCTATGGGGAATCTGGTGGTGTCACAGTGGTGGGGTGTATGTTGTGGAAGTGGGGGTCCTACTGTTGATGGCACATGCATCCCAGGGATGTTTGACAATCACTTTTGCTAAAAGTAAGTCCCATTGTGTCCAATATGCTTTTACAGAAGTTTTACAGAATTCAATAAGTCTATTCAGACCATGACTATGTGGTGAAATTACACATTATTTGAATTAAATAGCATATAATTAACTCTTCTCCCCATCCCTGCATGGAGATTAAAAAGGAAAAGAAAAAAAGTATCCACTGGCTTCAGTAAGAAGGAGATTCAGAAAGGAAACAACTGGAAGAAAGATTGAATTCTCTCTTCCTGGTCCTGATGTGAATTGGGGCCATGTGCACTTAGTCTTGAGTAAGAAAGCAAGGGAAGATGCATGCTATGAAATAAATATCATATGTAGTTTGAGCCTAAGACTAGTCCAAACCAGAACAATCCTAGATAAGCAATCCCCACAGACTTCAAAGCAAATTACTCGCAGGTAAGTGAGGATAGTATTGCAATCTCAAAGGCTTTTTTAAAAATACTTTTTATACCAGCTTTTGTCTAGCATCAGAAGCCTCTAAGAAATGAAAATCAGAACAGAAACATAAAAATAAAATAGTGTCACTAGATAAAAAAATAGAAAGAATAATTTTTAAAAAGTTACTTTGGATTTATTATATTTTCTTTAAGTGTGCAATGCAAAAAATGTCTACTATGATACAAAGGTAACTCTTAAACATTTTAACCATTTGTTTCCAATCTTCAGATTTAATTTCTGTGGCAGCGACACCGTGAGAGAAGATGTTCTGCAAACGCTTACACCATGCTAGTATGCAAACAATACAAGAGCTTTCTTGCAAGTCTTAATTAAAAATTATGCTCAGTTGCATTCCATGCACTCATGGTGATAATCAGCTCTGTTATTACATTCAATGGTTATTCTTCTACAAAGTGAAAAGAATTAGCAATTTGGAAAAAAAAACCTTAAAAAGGGAAAGAAACTCATCTGGAATGAAGGACTGAAATACAAACATGTTATAGGAGTCAAAGTCATTGAAAACTGTATTGCCTTACATAATTTTTAATTAAAATACTATATTGAAATAATTATTTAAAAAAGCAATAAAGGTTTTCCTTTGCTTATTCAATTAGCCACATTTATGTTTTTGTTTATTGAATTACCTACAGTCTCCTAGAGCAACTAAAACACAAAGGAACAGTTGCAAAAAGAGTCTGATTTGAGTTATAGGCTTTCTTGAGCACGTGTGATGCCATTTTCATGGCAATGGATAATGTCGTTCTCTATGCAAAAAATGTGTTTCACCTGCTTCCAGCAATGCAATGAATAGGGGCCCCTTTTCAAGTAGGGGACCGGTATATGTAGTACTCGCTGTCAGCCCAACATGTCCTGCTTTGCCTTGCTGGAGTGGCAGATTTAATACCCCTCAGCAGTGTGCAGCAGATCACTGGCACTAATTCAGGTCTACGCATGTGTAGCTATGCATGACTAGTTGCACCAGAAGAAGTGCAGTACACATTGGCAACCTCTGTATTCAGATGCACCTCGAGGAATCCATTGGGATGGGATGCCAGTCATCCCCCTGCATCACATTACAGATGCAACATTGACATAGAAGAGGCTGAGAGGTGTGAAGGGTGGCAGATACAAAGAAGAGATTACAAGGAACGAAGGAGGCAAGGAGAAACGTGCGCTCACGAGAGAGAGAGAGCTCAGGAGGAAACTGAGGAATATTAAGTTCACACAGCATAAGTCACGGTTGCTTATAGGACACCATAGCTTGTCATGTAGTCTGAACCCAGCCAGAATGATTAGCAGGCCATATTGCTGGGTTCAAATACCTTGGCAAGCTACTATCATGCTTACTGTGTTGTGTGAGCCCAGTCACTGTAAAAATATACTTACTGTGCAATCCTGTGCATGTTTGGACAAGAATAAGTGCTCCAGCACCCAGCCTTCTCCAGTCAGCCATAGCTGGTTAAGGCATGCTGGGAACAGTGTGTAAATCAGTAGTTCCAACCACTGATCCGGGGACCAGTGCTGGTTCATGGGAGATTTTCTGCCAGTCCGTGTGGCACCACATCCTGCTTGTCACAGACTGACATGGGGGCTGGCTGTGCTCCACAACCTCTTCCTTGGTTGCCATCACAATCAAGTGGGGGAGGGATGCCTTCTGCAAACCACGCCATGCGGATTTTGGTATTTTGTCCTTTTGTTAGCATTTTTGTTAGCTCAGTTTCTGGTTGTTTTGAAAATTTATTTATTTATTTTGGTATTGTGTTTGGAAACTAATACACAGAATTTGTATTATGTGTATGGTGCTTTTTGTTTCTGCCTCAGCTTTTTCTGTTTTCACTGGTCACCAGTTGTTGAAAACCGCTGCTCTAAACAAGCATAGGATTGTGCCCAAAGGCAGCCAATTTCCAGCCACAACCCAAAATTTGCATTAACCTCCCCTTTAAAAACCTGTCCAAAAATAAATGTGGCTAGGAATCTATTTATTGTTGTTTCTGGCCAATTTCTAGGTTTTGTGTCTACTAGGATATTCTGCCTGCCCTTTGAGAGCAATTGCCATTCTCTATTTATGGAATATATGGTTGCAAGTAAATTTGGAGACTGTTTCTACTTGTGTCTGAAAATTTAGTACAGAGTATAGTGGCTCATTTATTAATATGCAAAACAAAAGATGTTCTCTATTAAATGGCTGAGTTTTTGCTCACTTTCTCTCATCTCAGCAAAGACTAGAACATTAGCAAGAACTCCCTTAATAGAAATGTAATTATATGTCTTCACTTGAAAGTGGACTTTTAATATCCCATGATGCATAGATTATTTGCACAAGGGAAAACTGCTTAATTTAGTCAATTTTCCTCAGCAAAGAATGTGATGCAGACAATTTCTTGATGCTTCATAGAAACAGAAGTATCTAAAATGTGTCTGGCAATATATAAAGCGAAAAGGGAAAAGTGGTGACCTCTCTAATCAGAGCAAGGAAAGTTACAAATGCAAACATTTTAAGACTGCAAATTCTACATCCACTTTCCTCAGAGTAAGTCCGATTAAAAATGGATGATGATGATGATATTTTGTGGGACTTACTTTTGAACAGTACATTGTGTTGTTAGTTCATTTAAACAGAAGATTGTGCTTTAGGCAGGTACAGTATGTCCAATTGATATGCTGGTAGTGATGGTCCCAAGCTAAATTGCATGTTTTCCTTTAGTCTCTTGCTTTAGGGTGCATTCTTATGGCTAATAGATGCTGTCTGGCCAGCCATAGGAAAAGGTGGCATCCCATTGAAACCTCAGAGAAGCATTCTGAGGCCACTTTGGGAGGGTCCCCTTTCACTCTCTTGGCCAGTTCTTTCTGTGCCAGCTGAGGCTCTGAAGATGGAAGACCATCCTCAGGTCAGGTGCCAGTGTGGCTTTGTGTGGAGATAGGAGAGGAGGGTTGAGTACAACCAGCTTCTGCCAAATCCAGGCAGTGCCTCAGCCCATCCTCCTCATGAGGAAGGAAAAACATAGTGCAGCTGTCCAAATGTTTTTCTGATTGAGTGGAACAGAGACGCCATCCTTGCCTCTGAGTTCCTCTTGTGCTCAGTTAAATGCCTATAACATTGTGTTTGGAAAGTAGCAGATGCATAGGATTTTGCCCTTAATAGGTTAACCCACCTGATCTGTAGATTTTCTTGGGGAATTTAATAATGCTTTTGAGACTCTCCAGCTAATTACCATCACAGTTATTCATTCATACAAGGAGTTAATCACTTGGAGGACAACCAGCTTAATGCAGAATTGAACCTATTGGCCTACAGAGTGCCAAATGTGGCCTTTAAAATAGGTAGCAAGACAATATGGTGTGGGAATAATTAAATATGCATCCCAATCACTCATTAAATATAACATCAAGAGATGACTTGCTTGTGTGAGTCCACAATCATGGATGATTCACCAGAGATGACTTTTCAGATCATGAAATGTCAATTCTATTTAGTTTCCTTCTTATGAAAATGTGTCTATGAATCAGTCTATAATCAGACCATAACTGGGATTTCCTTAATGTATCTGACACTACACTAAATTCTCAGTGATGGAAATGTATTATTTATCAAGGAAACTGGGGGCAGTGACATCATCTTGCTTTAAATTTACTTATATATCACTAGTCCAGGACACTTGCTATCTGTGATCTATTAAACTTAATTATATTGCTTTGCTAAGAATTAAAGTATGAGTTGATGAAACTGAGAGTAATAAGGAGAAATATACACAGAAATTACTTAATATTGGGAACACACTAGGGCATGTTTAAACCCATGGGGCTTAACCCCATGAGAGAAGTCTGTCATGGTAGCTAAAGAAATAATCCAGGAAACAAAAGAAGAAACCCAGAATACCTGAATGAAATGGCATGGAGAGGAGGGGTTCTGGGGTGCTGTTTGCATACAGAGTCAGCCCCAGCCTCCTCACTCAGCTCCACCAGCACACCCCATGTAAAGGCCCCATGAACTCTGGTGTGTGAGAGACCACAGGAGCATCAAAAATGCTTCGTGAAGAGAAGTGATGAGTTTCTTGCAGATCTAGGTTGGCCTCTTAAATACCCCCCCCACCCACCTCCAAACAAAAGAGGGCAAAAGAGGACATAAGTTGTGTGCATTGGCTGATTAATGTGTAGAGATGCACATTTAGCCATGATTACTATAATTTCAATAGAAATACATCGTGTGAGAGTTGGGACCGGATGACTCCTGGGTCTGTTCTCCAGGTGCTGTTGTTGAGCAACACCGGGGTTGCTGCTTGCCTGTCTTCAGGTTGCAACACTGTAAACTGGACTTAGTCTGGCCAGCCCTTCTAATAAGAGGCTGCCTTCACATAGAGGACTGGTCTTTGTAGAATAGAATACATGCTGTGCTACCTAGACCTCAACCTAGGTGGGCATTGTCTATGTAGACCTTACTAGGCCCACTTAGCAAACTCCATCCACTTTTGGTTCTAGCGTAGTCTACCACTGTCATGTGATTCTGACCTATTAATCCTAAGGTAATGAAGACCTTGATGGGAGAAAAGGTCTTCCCTGCCCTTTGTCTTTAATATACAAGCTGTTCTTATGCATAGGTCCTGGAACCAAAGTGGGGTCAAAAAGCCATGTTCTTCTTTCCTCCCCATATTCAAATTTTCCATAGAAAACAACCATTCCCCACCTCAAATTTCAGCCCTTCAGCTCACAACATCAATGTATTCACATTTAACTATGGGTTACCAAACGACCTCTTTTAATAATGAAGTGGAAAGCAATCACTTGGTTGAGTACTGTTTAAACAAACAACACTTTACAAAGCTATCACATCAAATGCAAAGTTAAATGAACATCAAATTACTGTCCATTTTCCTGGCTTTCAATGCTAATGGAGATATTTTTGTGACCTTTCCAAATGCTTTTCTTTTTTTCAAATAACATAAAAAGAATTGTTTGGAAATGCAAGTGGCTGTAAACCACATATTATTTGTAAATACAGCATGTTCCTGAATCGTTCATTTCAGTGCCTCAGTGAGGCCTAATTGGTACATATTTCAGTTGACATATATTGTTCTCTTGTAAAGGTGTCAAATTCTTCAGCAATGTCAGTGACAAAAGACCACTGCTTGTGATATAGAAATTAGGCTTCTTACTATATAATCAGTCATATCTATTAGAATGCTATTTGCATCAAAACATGCTCAAAATACGTACAAGATTGATTGGCCTTCCCTCCCCCCTCACTTTAATATTGTGCTATTCACAGCAAAGTTTTCCATTTGAACATGAAATGAGGAAATTTCAAGATTTTATCAGCATCATATCAATTAAGAGACATTTCATGTGAAAAGCTGGTATAACCTATTAAATGCACTTCTGGTTTCGAAATGCAGCTTTTGCCACCAACAACACCCTGTCACTGTGGACTATGTAAGGAAAGGTGTGATGGCATGGGAGTTTAAATTGATAATCTGACAGAATTAATTATTATACTGAGCTGCAGTAGCATTCTTGGAAATGTGAATTGTAGAGTCCACCTGGCTTATTCCATTTTCTCCCACGGTATTGCTGTTTACTCCTCAGGCCTTCCTGGGTATCTACAAATTTCATTCTACAAAAGAGACTGCCAAAATATTGTACAATGGGGACACATTTGAATGTAGCTTTCAGTTTGTCAAACTTGGAAGAGGAGTGGGGTACTCATTTCAGTAGCAACTTTCTTTGGCCCAATCTGTATAAAGCCGCAGCTTCTAAAAGTGGACTTAAAAGTACCTTTTGGGACTTTTTGTAAGGGATTGTAAGACCTTTTCCTGTTTAAACACGCGTAGGATTGTGGTTTAAAGCTCTTACTGCCAAAGGGCAGGCATGGCCACAGGTGAATCCCCCAAAAGAAGGCCTGCCTCACCAGAGCATACGAAAGAGGTCACCGACCTGCAAATAACTTGCATGGCTACCTGATATGTTCAGATGCTTTTAAAGATAGTTATGATTTAAGTAGAAATATTGTACATCTCCCCACAGGGTAGAAGATTGTGACCAAGTGCATATTTGACTGCCTGGGTGCTGTTGATGGGCAACTCCTCCTCCTGGTAGTTCTTCAAGCAGAGCCTGCCTTGACTCAGAGGACAGTCCCCTGGTAGGCCATTGAACAAAGGACAGTCTTCTGTATAACAGTCTTTTAGAATAGGGGGAAACTGCACAAAGAATGGAAACTATCAAATGATCAAATTTGGGAGAAGAGGAACCCCAGAGAGCTAGACTGGGACTCAGAAGGGCTAAATGTGGTCCATGGTCTGAAGAGACTCCCCAGCCCTGCTGTACATGGGAGGTTCAGATGGGCCCAGTGGTGTATACCATGTTCCCAGACCAAGTTTCATAAAAGCAGTTCACTTCCAGTAAGAAGCATTTTAAGAGCACATTAATCATGCTAATAATGTTAATAATTATAGTTTGTAATACAGCAGGTGCCATCTAGTCTACCTCCCTCTTCTGATGGCAGACTGTACAAATTATAGGCTGAGGAGAAAAATGAAAGTCTAGAAGTTAGGAGATTACATGAAAGATTTAGAGTGTTAATGTGCCCAACTAGATTCTAAGCAACCAAGTACAATACCCGGTGTTACAAAGGATGCACTCTCATCATTGCCTGCCCTCAATGCACATAAAGCTCCAGATCTGGAGGCTCATGTGCATCCTATGCACTGAACAAGGTACAGCAGGAATCTCTGCACCTGCCACACCTCACATTCTGATTTCTGTCTAGAAGGCTGCTTAGTGCCATCTAGATAAAGTGCTTGGGAAGGAAGGAAGCTAGATGCCATCAGGAAGCAGCAGAAGCCCTTGGGCCCAGCCTCGTCCCCTCCCTACCCTCCAGCATGCCCCCTTTCCTCCTCTCTAAGACATATTTGCAGCCTTGGAGAGGCAGCCAGCACCAGCTCTGTGTGGTGGGGCAGGACAGGGGCTCAGCTTTCCAAGTCCCAACTCTGAAAGTGTAATATGTTGGAACTGAGACTTCAAATAATCCTATGGCCCACCCCAGACAATGCCAGAAGGTCAAAGGATTGTGGCCTAGATTATGCATTTTTTGTTTCAAAAATGTCCCCCAAATGCACACACACCATCACATACATAAACTTTTTAGCATATTGCAGAAATGTATGGAGAGGACTTCAGATTTTGATAAAAGAAATGGTGGCACATTCATCATGTAAACAGAGATATGCACAAGGAGATTCGAGATTATAACGGAAAGACTTGTACCTCAGTTCCCATGGGAAATGTGAAGACTCCCCAAGGTGACATATTTGAGGTAGGCTTGCTTTTTTCTGTTCTATTTTTAAAAACAGAGGCTCAGAACAGCTACGCAGATGCTAAGAAAGCGTTTCATACCTGCTCTAACCACCTGTTCAGATGGTTGCTTCTTGACCCAAAAAGTGGATAGCTGTCTCAGGGCATCCCGATCTTTTCCTTCCAAGCAGCCTTTCTGTTGTGGGAACTCTGCATTTCCAGAACACTCAAACTGCAATAAATGAATTACAGCTGGGAAACTGTCATTTTCCCACAGCTACTCCATCACTGTTCACATATTTGGCATGTTGAAACTGGCTGCCAGAGACATGGGGTAAATTGCAAGGCATGAGATAGCCCTGCACTGCATTGGAAGAGGAACTTGTGAAATTAAACCATTTAGAAGGATTTGAGCTGTTCAAGTGGGCTAGAACTTCCCAACAGGAACTGAAGCACCTTCGATGAAGTCAGAGGTGCTGTTGAAAAGGCAGTGTGGGTGGAGGCAGGCTGCTTCCTTTGGGTCAAAAATGTCTTGAAATTCTTGGGACTTCTAGGAGAATGTCTGGAGACTGGAAACTTCAGCCTTCAAAAAGGAGTTCACTTGTGCAATTAGAGGGTTGATCCATGAAATTTGTTGTGCCCCTTGAGTCTCCTCCTCTTCCTCCTCTCCATCATCATCTTTATATCCCACTTTTCTTCCTCTTGCAAGGGACCCAAGGTAGCTTTAAACTATCTTGTTTCCTGTGAGGTCCTCGGGTGTGCCTCCATCACCATGTGTGACTGGGACAGGATTTCTTACCACGTACTATTCTCTGTGGTCTTGATCTCTGCCCAGCTGATGCCACCCATCAGCCTGGGGAAGAAAGAGTTTTCTGGCAGCATGGAGGCAGGTTCAGAAGGTGGGCACACTTTTGCTAAAGGTCCCTTCTGCTCATGATTGCAACACATTCCTACAGCCCACAGCACCCACATCTACCATTGGACAGCCTGGATGTGATGAAACCCAACTGCATAGGTTCTGGGTTTGAGGGAGGAGGGAAAGGGAGAGGGGGGGAGGGGAGGGGAGGGGAGGCCACTGGCCAGGGAAGAGCATGAGGGCAGTGCTGCAACTTACAGATACCTTGCAGCTGGTTGGTGTGCTTAGACTAGGCTAACTTCAAGCAGAGTTGACTCAAAAGAGCCAGAACCTGGAACTGTTCAGCCCACACTGGTTTATCTAAAATTGTATTATTCAAGCTTTCTAAGGAATTGGTTTCTGAATAAAGGGACTTGTAAGATGGTTCTGATACTGACCACAAATTCCTGGACTAAACATGGGCTCAGAGGCGTCATTTTATTTCATGCTGCATCTATGTGCCTGGGCTGCTATTTTGCTCCTGTTGCCACTTGGTGAACCTCAGTGGTCTAGCTGAAAACAAAGCAGATGCCTGCGGACTGGCACTTGCCCTGTGGACTGGAATTGCCTGGAAAGAAATTCTGAGACAGATTTGTCAGGGTCAGACGTGCAATCATTTATCTTGATTTCTTTAATGTATAACATCATCAGCCACTAAATAGTGAAACCAAACAAGATGTCAGAAATGTATGATATATATAAAACACAGAAGAAATATGTTCAGATATCAGTCAGATATGAACTATGAGAGCTTCAGACTAAATCCTCTGAATATGTAGGGAGAAAAAGGTCCTACAACCTTCAACAACCTCAATTTTGAGGTGCGCATGGGGTGTGGCTGTCTCTACACATGCATAGGATTGTGCCCTTAAACATTTACAGGTTAAGAAGATGTCTAAAAAAAAGCGAAAGTAGTAATTTCACTTGTCAGCAAAAATAGCAATTTTAGTCTTCAGCAAATTTCCTGATCGACAGCAGCTGTACCGCAATGGGTTGCTCTTAATACATTACAGAATGTTTTCCTGAGACCGGAGGAGAAGAATTATGGGGAACCAACACACTTATTCTGAAGTAAGCCCAGATGCAGGTGTGCCTTTGACAAGCCTCTTGCTGAGTCTGTCCTAATGCTTTGTCTTCAGCTCCAGAGTTCCACAGAACCAATTCAGGCTACAACAGGTGGGGCTGTTAAATGCCAGGCAGGCTGGAATGGTTTGACACTTTTAGGTTTTAACTATGCTAGATATTTCCTAGCAATTTTGTTCCTTTCTTACAGCTACTCTGCTGCATATAAAGCATATCAGTATGCTATTGTTTATAACACACCCCTGGCCAGCACCAGGAAATATGCGATGATGTCCTTCTTAAATGGTGAAAATAGCACATTTTTCATAGTATATTTTCATAACATAGTATATTTCACAGCATATATACTGTTTTACTCCAAAGTTTTGACTAATTTCATGGGAAATGAGCAACATCTTCACTTTGAGATTTGTTTGATACATGCAATTTCAGGCAGGCAGTCAACTTTACACACTTATGGGTTGAATTTTCTAAATTTATCCTGTCCCTCTTTCCTTCACTGCAGATGCCCCTGGAATCATTCTTCTCCACCCTTTCATTTGATCCATGAGTTAACAGCTTATAAAGCAAGTTATGGTTCCTGCCACCTTGTATCACACTGCTTTGCAAGTGAAAATGGCAGCATATCTGAAATACTTACAATCTCCCTGCATATGATGATGAACAAATATGGAAGATTTTTAGGCAGGCTAATTTCAGAATTACTGTGTGATTTTAATGGTCTACTGCCATTGAACCATTATGCAGTTAAGTCTTTCTTGTCTTCCTTGATCTGCTCTTGAAGCTTCTCAGCCTTACGTTTCTTGGCAAGATAGGCCCCATAGTTCACATCAGGATGGTTACACACAGAACAGCTTCTGCACACATTGCCAAAGGTCTTTCCAATGCCAGAACGCTCATCTGCAAGACACAAACATTTTTGCTAGTGCTCACATCCATGGGATAAGCACAGTTCATCAAGGAGCCTAAAACTCAGGGACCAGGGATGTAGGGACAGAGACGTCTGCCTGGAACTGCTCCAATCCATATGCACAATAGCTGAAACATTACATCAGGGTGGCTGAATCAGTTGCTATGGGAAGCCATTTTCAGCAACAACCTCCTTGATCAATGTAATGTGTCTTCTGACCTTTAAAAACAGGGGAGACACTGTAATGGCATATTACATAACAGCAAGCAATGGGGAACCCACAACCTGTGGGCAAATATGGCCCACAGAAGTTCCCCACAAAGATTCTTGCCAAGGCTATGGTCCAGCCCAGTGCTAAGAGAGGGGAAATGGCTTATCTTTGCTGCAGAACAGGGACAAGCCCTTTCCTGTGCCCCAACACCAAGAGTCTCTCCCCTCTTATCACTAGGGCCTGGCTTTGCCTTTTTCTGTAGACTGAGACTAGCAAGCATAATCCCGTGAAGTATCCTGCAGTAGTTCCATAGATGAAAATCATGAGCCCTTACGTGGTATATGACCAGTATACTTAGGCAGCATCCCTTCAGGTCTGTAGAATCTCTGGTGTGGGCGTAATTCTTTGGGTTTGGGTACATGCACATCCCTTCAAAAAAGAAAATAAAACAAACGGTATTCAGTGTTTGCGATTTTCCATCATCTATGACTGTCAACAGAAGCCATGTTTGAAAGTCTTGTCATATTCTTCCTGGCCAGTTTTCTTCTCCTGCTAATTGTTGAGCCTTATTTTGGAGGAAGGGCATTTTCACCCAAGAGTGCCATCTTTTCTCCTTGCAAAGCTCTCGTGTCCTTAATTGCTGTGTGACTGACAGAAATGACACTTTCACTCATCCGCAGAGAGGGGCTGGTGGGGAGAGCTGTTGAATATCTCGCTTTCAAAACAGCTAAAAGTCCATAATTTTTGTTAAGAACTTTTGTTGCTTCCTGTTCCAGAGAGGGAAAGCAAGCACACTGCTCTTGGGTCCAGTGACCGGTGAGCTTATTCTCCTGCAGAGAAGCAGCAGACAAGGCACATGTGTGTGTCCGGAGCAACCTCTCCCTTCCAACGTTTGCTGCAAATGTAGCAGCCTGACACATGGCTCAGTGTGGCACCATTTTGACAGAGATGCTCTCTGCTACCCTCCATTGCATTGCCAGTGCTTTGTCTTGCTTTGCTTTTGAACAACCATTAATCTGATGGCGGGTTCTAAATAAAAGCTTTTCCTGCTGTACCACCAAAATAAATTTATGGTTACATCTGGAGAGCTGACATCTGTGTTTGTAGAACCTAGCTATCAATCTCCTCGTGCGGTTTTCTTAGGATAAAGAGCAGCGACCTTACGTTCGCCCTTTTGGTACTGGTATCATCAGCATGATGCGTGACAACAGTCAAACCCAAGCACCCGCTTAAAAACACACAGGAGCTCCTGAGAACTTTGGGAAAGACATTGCAAGGCATCATCGAAACTGGGCTAGGCAACAGGTTGCCTGTGTGCATTATGGTACTCCAGATCACCTTTACTGCACTGAGATGCCGAAGAAGAAGAAGAAGAAGAAGAAGAAGAAGAAGAAGAAGAAGAAGAAACATATTTTCTTTTTGGCAACAGAGTGCTGTAAAACGGATCTCTTTGGTGTTGAAAAGTTTAAGTTGAAAAGTGTTGTGCAGTGTGTTAGGAGTCAGACATCCCCTCTGCCTTGCACTTGAAGGACTTAGGGGGCCGGATCTGGAGCACTTTGCCCAATCAAGCAGCAAGAATGAGAGGCACAAAACTATATTTTATTCTCAAGAACAAAGTCTGATTACAGAGAAATGGTAATTTACCCCAAAAAGTATGATGGAGTCCTCTTTTGCACCTCTGCTGACCAGGTAATGATGGCAGATGCCCAGCTACCTGGAGGCAGGGCTGGAAGGTTTGGTGGGAGAGTGCTCAACCCCTGGCTGTGTGTACTACGCCAATATACATTAACAATGTGTGGGATGTGACCAGCCTGCCCAGGCTTAAGGCAAACCAGGTATGTTCTACATACACTTGGTCTTGTCCTTTGGCACACCTCATGTGGCAGCCATTTTGCAGCAGTGACCAGGAGAGTTTGACAGTAGCTAAATGAACCCACAGCCAAAACAGGTGCCTATCCTCCTCTAAAGTTTGGAAACACAAGACCCTCCCTAGCACTCACGTTCCCTGCAGGATTGGGCTGCCAGTCAAATTCCAGTAGGAAACAGGCTAGGCAAAGAGTGTCTTTCCAGAATGTGCAGCACTACAGCTGGCTCCTTTCGGTCTACTCAAAAGTCAGCTTGGTTGCACAAAGAAAGAGAGTGCACAGGATGCCTCTCCCTGCATGCTCTCCATCCTAGCAGCCATGGCCCCAACAGTGGCATGTGTGAAGGAACAGACGGGGCAGACAATGGGCCACATATAGCCTGAAGTGCCTGATCCTGCCTAATCTTGGAAGCTAAGCAGGGTCAGGCCTGGCTCGAATCTGGATGGGTAAACTGAGTGTATGATTCAATGATTATTGTTGTAAACCACCCAGAGAGTTTCAGCTACAGGTGGTATGGAAATATAGGAGTGTTGGTGGTGGTAATAGTAATGTTTCCAAGGGGTTTCCACCCGTGATCTAAAGCAATGCTTGGAATTTTTAAACAATGATTTTGCATATTTTCTCTCTTTCATTATGTTAACAGTGATAGGACTGTTAAAGGTGATAGTTTTAAAACATACATACTCACACAATGAGAAAAAAGTGTGAAAGCAAGAAAATTGAAAATCTGAATGCCTATGAATGAATGGCACTCTGGAACTTCACATATACACGACCTGTCAAAAGTAGCATACTTCCCTCAAAGATCTTGATAGAAACATACACTGGCTCCTTGGCGGGATGCTCGTGGCTGACTCTGTCCAAACAGTCTTTAAAATCTTTATAACAATTTTCTGCCATCACATGGTAGCGCACTCCATGACCATGTTCTGTGACCTTTGATCGGGGCACAAAGCCCGTCCAACCCGGCATCGGTGGCTCAAGCAGACCTCTTCTTGTTTCCACAGGCCCTGAAAAATGATAAATAGTTATCAGCAGTTGTGCATGGGGGAAGGAAAGTTATATAGATTGGGTCACTGGATTAGCATCGGAAGGGAAATCAGGAAGGGAAATCTGCATCATGCTTGGCTTTGTTTCCTAGAATTTCTGCAAACCTCCCCAAATGTCAAAGTGACCTACTGAAATGTTCACGCTTTTAACGCAGACATCAGTTAGCTGTCAAGATATTGCTCATGGTTTGCTAATTATTTTTAAAAGCTGCAATGTTTTGATAGGGAAAGGGCTGGACACAGGGCAGGGATACTGGCTGTCTGGCCTGTGGGCCAAATCTAGCCTGCCTTGCAGCCTAGTCAAGCTGTTTGGGAGTGTTATAGCAGATACTACACAATCATCCAGATCCTGTTGAACCTTAACTGGAGAAAGAAAGGAATAGTCCCTAAAGTGCTATTTAAAAATAATACAATTTCAAGGGATAGGTAAAGTACAGAACACAATTTAAAATGTTCCATACATCCCATAGGTCTAGTTCAAGAATCCAAATTCCCTGAGAGAAGACAACTTAAGAGGTGAGATGACAGGTCCAAAGCCAGAGGTCTTCTGTGGTCCAATAGTCAATATATTAGCTCTTTGCTTACTGCACTTAAAAGAATTCAAGGGTTGGTTCTGTTCCAGTAAAGTATATTCCACTGCTCTTCAACCTGTATTCACTAAAACTATGAGGATGTTTAGTGCCAACATTAGAGCAAATTTGCTAGATAATCACACACACAGTGATCACAAGTTATGGTCTGTGCCTAACCAAAACCGGTCTACCAACATGCTAGAGGGAAGTAGCAGAAGTCATGGGGAAAACTTAAAGTTTTCAGAAATAGAAAAGATATTTAGAACTGCACCCCCTTCCCATATACAATCATGCAAACACAAGGGGGAACACCCCAAAACAGCCCAATAAAGTCTGGGCATACTAAGTGGCCACTGAAAATGGCCTGACTGTTGAGAGCTGGAATGGAACCTCAGGTGGAAGGAACAATGGGATGGAGTATACTAAGAATAATCACTCTACACAGTATCATTTTGATTCTGGTCCACTTTTTAAAAAAAGTACACATAATAAGTCAGGAGGCTCCCTGTTGGAAAATTTACTCTGAAGATGTATTCCTTTCTGTTCTTCCAGCTGAGTTTTTTGAGGTCATGGAGCAGGTTCATGCAGCTGTAGATAAAATCACAGACAGAAAGCAATTTCTGTTGCTCCTTGTCTGTAAGAGCAAAGCTATTAGAGCCCTTTGTCAAGGCTTAGCACCACTAGTCTCAGAGATGGCTTTTTTTATTTTTTACAAAAGACCTGAGAAAAGCTCCTAGTTCTTCTCCCAAAGAAGGAACTGTCATTACCCCCTTAACCACTGCAATTCATCAAAACAGATGTAATTTCTCTGTGCCTTCTCATGTGGCACCAGGCCACACGCAGGTTGCTGCCATGAATTTCTTCTACAACACAGCAAAAAGGCTTTTGCTACTAGAATTTGGCACTAGTGTGGGAACAAGGGTCAACGTTTTACTTCCTAAGAAAAGCAAAGCTGGCTCAAATTTCTACATTTTCTTACAAGAAAAGAGCAGGAAGCATTTACAGCCATCTTTGCTACATGGCTTACCAAAAATAGGACTTTATGCTGCTATTCAGCCTACTAAAACTACTAATAAAGCAAAACATTGCTCAGCATGAATGAAGACAGGAATGCCTCCTAAACCAGAAAACCAAACACCCAAATGTGTCTCCCTTATGCTCTGCTGGGAAAGAGCCAAGGCCATAGGCTTCCTATGTTCCTAGGACATAGGAAGGAAAGTTCAGCTCTGGAGCAGTAAGAATGAAAGCTTTTACGAGATGGTGATCTGTTCAGTCACAAGAACAAACTGGCATAGCAACCTGGTCTTCTCCTGATATGCTATATGCTACAGGTGGAACATGCACCAATCTAATATAGATTGTTTCAGTTACATGATGCCCAGTTTTGGGTTTGCTTGGCACATCTATGCTAAAGACATCCTAAAGCAGAGGTAGGGAGCTCTTGGTCTTCCAGATGTTTTGTATGGCAACTCCCAAATTTGCTCATCATTGGCCATGTTAGCTGAAGATTCTAGGAATTTAACAAAATATCTCAAGGGCCAAAGGCTCCCCAGCTATGTGCTAAAGCATCTGAAGTTAAGCTTGTACTTGATATTAGGTTAATGGCAGATCCTCACCCCGAGAAGTTTAAGACCTTTCATACAACTGATAGAGAAGGTGTTTGAAGAGGCAAGGGGAAAGGACAGTTTTCAGGTGGACTATATTCCATCTGTCAATCAGTAGTTTTTATATAATATTTTAATGAGTTATCCAAAACCTTAGGTGGAATTATTTCCCTGACAGATCATCTTATTATTTTAGAAATCATTTACTTTTTAAGCCTTTGCCTCAAGTGTTTGGAAATGTTTTACGCCTCAGATTCAGTCCTATATATGTGATTATTCAAATTTTATTAAGCAAATATTGATACTGGCCAAAAGGGTGACCTTCTAATCACTACAGATACCAAACACCTTTGTACCAGTATCTTACAAATAGAGTAGTTAACTAAGGTTATTTGGGAAACATCTAAATGGAAAGGACTGCCACCAGACTCAGAGCTAGGATGCTCCTAGAGCTTACAGCACCATCATTGTGAGGAGAACTGGAAATCTACAAAGTTGGCTTTAGTTTGGAATTCCTTTCTCTTTGGTAGCTAAATATTAACTTTCTCATGACCTTGAACAAATCCCCTATATTTTGAGACTTAAGTCAAAGATTCAGAACTCACTTCATGCCATAATTAACACAATCCAAGCCACTGCAAGATGTTTTCTATATGAACTTTTTCATGTTTCAATGAAAGAAATGCCTTTAAAATTAGTAAAATATGCCATAAAGCTTGTTTAGAAACATACATTCCTGTGTAACTTTTTTACTCCACTAAACTGTAAATCTGATTGTCATGGCTTTCACCTCATCTAGGCACCCATCCTTAGGCAATGTCCCATTTCCTAATATTATACAAGTACTATACTTACCTTGTCACAGTGACACAAGAATGTAAGACTATCATGCTAGCCACTGAGAGCTCAAGAAATGCTCTCCCTGCCCCCACCTTTTTTACTTCTGCATTTCTTTGCTTTTTAGCATTACATTGTCCTAATCTTACCACTTACTGCTTCTCTTAATAGAGGCCTGAAGTGTTCCATTCATAAAATGCAAGTTTAAAGTAGAATACAAAATTCCTATGTAATGTTTTCAGGTGCCATCAGATGATCTCAACACAATTCCATTAAGTGTCTTCTATTTTACACTTTCCTTCCTTTTAGTCTCATTTACTGCCTTTTGGCTTCCTTCCAGCTGCACATTCCAGACTAGCTTGTTCCTATGGCTCCCTTCCCCTTAGACTTCACTCCTCAGGTGCTAATTCCCTCAGAATTATGAGGTCATGGTTCACTTTACTTCCCTAAATAGAATTCTGGCTTGATCCAAAGGCATGTCTGTTCATGAAAGATAAAAACAAACAAACAAAAAAACCCCCCTAGATCCAACACTGTGGCTCTTTAAGGACAACTGTTTTCTGAGTCACTGGGGAGACAGGTATTCACATCAAACTATGAGTTGGGTCCAGTCATAGTCCTTATTAAACAGCTACACAGACTCAATGGGACTTAAAGCAATGGAACCACCTTGAGTCCCACTTCTTTAAATGGTCCTACTGTACAGATAGCAAAAGTCTGGATCTAATCCAATACTTTTATAATTAAAAATGGAATATTCCACCCGAATTGGAATCACTGTAACTAGTCTAGCAAAGTCAACTATTATGTTTGAAACACCCATTCTATCATCTTCTTGTTTATACTATATGTTGTTCTAGAAAGGAACCTATAATCCCCGCTAACACCACCAATAAAACATCGCCTGTGTTTGCACAGAGCCATAACCAAGAATCCTGGCTTATTAAACTACAAAGTGAACAAATGCACAAAGATCGTTTGTTCCTGTTTTGCTTCTCTTTCTGCCACCAGAGTCCCCATTCAGGAAAGTGGTTTGTTTGAAGGGGCCGGAAAGGGAGAGGAAAAAAGCAAGGCAGGGGCTGGCCAAGAAAAAGAAAAAGAAAAAGAAAAAGAAAGAGAGAGAGAGAGAGAGAGAGAGAGAGAGAGAGAGAGAGAGAGAGAGAGAGAGAGAGAGAAAGAAAAGAAAAGAAAAGAAAAGAAAAGAAAAGAAAAGAAAAGAAAAGAAAAGAAAAGAGGGAGTTGAATGAGATAAGACGGAAAGAAGGAACAAGGCTAGGGAGTAGGAGGGAAGGAGAATAATCAAAGAAGGTTAGAAGAAGAGGGAAACAGCAAGGCAAGCAGGTACAGGAAGTGAGAGAGGGGACAAAAGGAAAAGGTCTGTGTGAAAAAGATTAGCAGGAGCAAGAGGCCACTTTTTTCCTCTTTTTGTCTCAACCACTGATCAGCAGTAGGTTTGAGGAGGAGGAGGAGAACTTGGAATCCTAATGTTTTCATGTTTTTTATTTAAAAAAGGAGGAGGAGGGGGAGGAGGAAGAGGAAGAGGAGGAGGAGGCACAGAGTAGAAAGCTTTGCGGGGCACCATCAAGGTCTCCACTGGTGCACTGGCATCTCCAGATGTTGACTTAAGTTGATTTCCAAATGCAAGATTATGGATTTTTGCAGCTTTTCGCAATCTGGGACCTTTCAGATGTTTTGAATTACAATTCCCATCTTTCTTGACCATTGGATTTCTTGGCATGGCTAATAAGAGTTTTAGATTTAAATAACTGGAGGGTACCCAGATGGGAGTGTTAGTTCACCATAACCAAATCAGTCAGCATTAAATCAAGGTTTGTTGGTATCTTATCAATTCTGGTTTGCTTTGGCTGCTGTCCCATGCTGTTCATTTACATGCTGTTCATTTACAATGTGGTTTAATAAAGCAAAATTCCTAGTTTATGGCTATGTGCTGATATGGCTGTTGTCTCTACCCTTAAATAGTCAAGGTCACCAAATATTACTGTGAAGCTGCGGCTTGCCTGTGCAATATGTTTTTATTTTAAATGGAGCAGCTTACTCACAAAGAACCCCATCAGTCTTCGAGGTGATCCACCTCAACTCTGCAACAAGAAAATGGCACAGATCCTGCACACTCCAAAAGCTAAAGCAGATGCTTTGGAATCAAACGGAGCTCTCTTTTAAACATACATACCAGAGCTATACATAATTGGTTTATTAACTTCAGAGAAAACACATGCAGCCCTGGTGCAGATCAAGACTGCAGCACCTTGGGAAGGAGAATTTTAAGCTTCATCCGAACCCAATTCCATCCCAAAGTTCCACTCCCTCATGAGTTTGTGCACTAAAAAACATGGAGTGGGGAGAGCCTCTATTTCAGAGAGCGCTATATTGTTACTGTACTATATACTGTTACTGTACATTCATCTGCCCACCCAAGCTCTGCTGTGTGTAATCAGAACATTTAGTTCTGCCTTTGGAGTCAAGTTGCCTACCTGATAACATTGTCAAAGTGATAATAGTTGCAGTTGACTTTGCTAAATGCAAATTTAGTAGGAATTATGCATACGATACCTAGCACATTGGGATGACGTTTGTAATTATAGTCATCAAGCACATTTATTATATCTTCATTGGAGCAAAGAGGTGGTAGCTGAGGTGCCGTTGCCGCTAGACATCTCAGCTCATTTGCTTGGTCAGTTTTTCTCTGAGTAGCATCACGAAATGCATTCACACACCACACAGAATCATTTCCAAAACTACTTCCAATTCGGTAGAACCTAAAGGGGATATAGCCTAGAAAAAGGAGAAAGTCCCTAAGCGTCACTAAGAAGCCACAGACAGGAGAAGGTCTAGAAGGCCTTCCTCGACAGAGTTCCCCCTGCCCATAGACCCCATCTCACAGGGATAATCCCATTATTTACTCCTGACCTGTATATGTGTATATGGTATATATACGGTGTATATGGTGTATATACCCATAAGGTGTATATGTATAAGGTATAAGGTGTATAAGGTGTATATGGACCTTGCATATGTATAAGGTGTATATGGACCTTGCAGAAGCCACAATGGGAGCCCACTTGATGCCATGTGTGTTCATAGAAAAAAAGATCTGGTGGGTGACGCACATTTTCCCAAATGGTCCTAACCTGGCTATCACCAGCTTTCAATCTGATATGTGTTGCTCAGTGGTTAATTTATATTCACAACATGAAATGCCTTGTTGCAGCCTCTTCCCAACCCACAACCTGTGCTTGGTACCCCCTGCCATCCTAGAGGACACCTTTGGTACAAGCCTCATATTCTATGACCTCTTTGACTGGATTTAACTGAACCCTTCTTGCATGGCATGAAGTTTGTGTCCAGTGATCAGAAGTCTCTGTAGAGGCTCTTTTCATGGAGAGAGAGACAGCTGGGTGCAGGAAACTCCTTAAAATGGAAATGTGGGGGTGAAGGGGACTGAACGGGAAGCTTGATAGGACTTTTCATTTTTGTTCTTTTGTTTAGTCGCAAAGTCGTGCCCGACCCATCACAACCCCATGGACAACATTCCTCCAGGCTCTCCTGTCCTCCACCATCCCCCGGAGTCCACCCAAGCCCACCCCAGTGACTCCATCTAGCCACCTCATCCTCTGCTGTTCCCTTCTCCTTTTGCAATGGACTTTTTATAAGCATACATAAATATGAAACACTTTGGAGAAAAGAGTAAGTTTCTGCTTTAAATTATGTTTAATGGTCCAAGAAAGAAGGCCAAGAGGTAGATTTTATAGAGATGGTCCCCATCTAAGGCCTCTATAACAGAGGTGAGCAGAGGACTCTGGGTCACTTGTGCTCGAGTTAGCTGGCTGAGTGGGTGATGATCTCCTTAGCTACAGAAGGGTACAAGAGAAATATAATTTAGCTAACACTGGGGAAATGAAGAGCTAGAACATGCAGATTCCATAAAGGGCCCCCACAACACTCACCCCACAGTTTGAACAATAATTTAAGCAACTATGGAGGCAGCTTGGAGTGGAAGCACCATCTTAAGTTTCTTGGTATGTAGGCTTATGCATGTTAAACAGAAAAAAATCTAACAACTCCCAGCATTCCCCAAACAGCATGGCTGGCCAGTGTAGGGCTTTTTCTGTCTAAATATTTCACAGGCTCACCCTTAATTCAGCACAGCAAAAATCTGTTCTAATCCAGCCTTACTTGAGCTGGGGCTGGTTTTGAACTACAATTCTCACCAGCCTCAGCTAGCACAGTCAATGATGAAGAATGCGAAGAACTATTCAAAACATCCAGAAGGCACCAGTTTAAAAAAACTGAGAAAAACTGGTCTAGAAAATAATGAGTACAAAAGATACTCATCTATCACCCAATATAGTCCATGACAATTTTCAGGACAATTTTCAAGAAGGTCTGTGTTGGTATCGTATGCCCTCCGGCAATGCAAGGCAAGGCATATCAACTGGATGCTGCTGTAGAAAGAATACATTGATACCCAAGGTTCACATGTTGCTTTGCTTTTGAATATATTCCCTGGAATAAGCACAAGTGTTGTGATATAGATTGCAATTCTAGTGTAGGTAGAATTTAATCTCTTCCCTCTCCTGCTTTCCCACACCTGCAATTTATAATGCCAAACTCTGATCAACTCAAACATTTATTTTCACCATTGGTCAGTATTTTATAGAAATGGGGGTCCTGATCACAACCAGAAGGAAGACTTTAGGATGCAGACTGGGATCCCTGGGCTTACTCCAGAGAAAAGGAGGTATAGGTCCCTCTAAATGAACATCTGATTTGTCTCTTAGAGTGAAAGAATACTACATTCAAAAAATGGTTTTGAGTACCAGAAAAGCACAGAGCTCACAATCCTTCCACACAGTAATCTGTAAGTAGTCACAATAATATTGCTTCATTGCAGCAATGGGAGTGGGGGGGGGGTCCTTTTGCCACTATCGTTAAAGGATGCAGAGAGAGAAATTCTGGCTGATTTAGAGAGCACATGAAATACTAGAAGGGGCAATGTTTGTAACAAGAAACAGAAGTGGATAATAATGGAGGTAAGAGGAGGTTCCAGCCTTGGAAATAGGGATGCTCAGATTGTTCTCTTGACCCTCACTCACAGCCAGCATGGAAAAACTGTGTTGGTTGCTTCTCTGAAAATACACAGGCAAACTCAGAGATGGTGTTTAGGTGTTCCAGGGGCACAGAGAGGAAAGGAGACCAGAAACACCAGGATACAACATATGCTGAAGATGCCTTGGTATCCTTTCCTTTGCTTCTGAAGTTACAGGGTCTTGCAGTGTGAGAGGAGTCACCTTTCTCTCTGTTCTGCACAATATGACCATAATTCTCACTGAACTGCACCCTAAAAAGTTTCTGCAGGCTTATTAAAATTGTAATCTTGTTTACCACTGGGGAAAATCAGTAAGCAGCAATTACAGCAGCTTTCCCAAAGCTGGTGTCCTCTAGATTTTTTGGACCACAACTGCTAGCATTCCTGCGAGTTGGGGCTGATGAAGTCCAAAACATCTGGAGGGCTGAGGAAGACTGAACTGGAATAACAATGTTCTGGCTGAAATTCTGTGTGCTGAAGCCATTCCTTGGCCCATTTTCTAGCACGATATTTTACATTCTGCCATTATCAGCTAAGGAACAGGGTCAAGCCTCAGACTGTGGTGATAGTAATTTACCTGTGTATCCTGGAATCAAAGGGTGGCATTCATCTACTTGTCGCCGAAATGCTTTCATGCTTTTCCAAACTATGATAAAAGAAAGTGAATGTTCACAAAAGAAGTCATACCCTAACATTATTGTGCCTAGTTGAGAAATACACCACTGAAAAAAATATGGCTGTTTCCAAGTGTCACCTTTTTTACTTTTGCATGTGAATACATTACAGAAGTACCATCCCTTTTTTTGGCAGCAAGTTCAATAATGAGTGAGTCTTCCAAGTAGACTTAGAACTCTTTTAAGCCTTTGTTTTTATTGTGCAGGAGAGCGTGTAATTCATACAAGCACACAAAGACCCCCAAGAAGCAAGGGTCTGACATTCCCATCAATAGCCAACCCTTGGGAGGCTCACAAGCCAGCCTTGCCCTCTAGTCTGGCACTCAGAAATATGTGGACATCTTATTTAGCTCTCATGGCAAATACTTATTGATAAGCATATTATCCACAAACTTATCTAAATATTTAAAAACTGATCAGCACTCTTTGCCATCACTGTTGTCACTGCCAGAACTTGTGGCACCAGGTCCAGCAAGTTCTACCACCTTCCACTGTTACTATGAGTTAAAGCACAAATTACTGTAAAGTCATAAGTAGCTGTTGAATCTCCCCTGTCCCTTTTTCATTCTAGAATAGGTACAGGAGTCCCAATGCAAGTTGAAGACTTGTGGGGAGGGGAGGGGCTTTGATCCAGCTTTAATAGATCACTATGTAAGACCAGACCTTGCAGGGGTACCCCCTGGTCCAAATCAGGACTGTAAGAGGCAAAGGTAAAGGCCTCCTACCACCCGAACTAGAGTCCTGTTTGAAATGCAAAGCCCTCAGAATAAAAGAAAAGTGCCTGCTGCTGTTTTGTGAAATCATATGTGCTTTTGGTGTACATATCCTATCTGAATCCTATACAACAGATCTAGCAAATGTGCAGCCCTCCAAATGATGCTGGACTACAAATCCCATTAGCCTTCAACACCATAGCCACTTATGAGGATATATGAGAGCTCCAGTTGAACATCTGGAAAGATGCATGTCATCTAGTCTTGGTGTACAGAATATCAGACTAAAAAAAAAGACCTTGGGTTCAATTCAGATTTAGTATACTTATACTTGATGCCTTCCTGATGTTTTGAAGCACAGAGTCCATATTCCCTGACCAATGCCCATGCTGACTGGGACTTAGGGGAGTTGTAGTCCAGAACATCTGGAGGGCATTGGATCACTCACTCCCACAACAGACCCACTGAATGTAAAGATTTCCATTTCAGTGGGTCCACGCTAAACACGACTGTGCCTTCACTCCCTCAAGAACAGTCATGACAAGTGCAAAAGGAGTGGAGGAAAGGAGCAGAGGAAGAAATACAGGCAACCAGCCACAGCCTGCTGCCACAGAGTGCAGAGTGCAGCAAAGGTGGGACCTCTCCAGGCAAGGCTACGCCACGCCGTGCAGGGCAGCTCCCAAGAGCAGGAGGCGGGAGCGGAGCCGTTCCCACGACAGCCTCTCGGAGCGAGACGATCTCACCCTAAGCAAGCTAGCCCGGCTAGCTTGTTGCCTCCCTGCCCCGCGGCCGGAGAGGTCAGTCGACGCCGCTCCGTCCCGCCCCATCGCTGCATTGTGACCTCAGTGGAGGGGGAGAGGAGGCAGGGTTCCGGAGCAGAGCAGAGCAGAGCAGAGCGGGAAGCCGCTCTAGAGGGCGCCAGCGGGCCGCGCAGGGGCCGCGCGTCCTGCCTTCGCCGCGGACCGTCTTGCCCAGCCCCGATTATTCATGCCAGCAAGAAAATCCCGCCAAGGAGGAAAAGGTAGCATATCCGGATTATTTTCCTCTTTGCACAGATGCTCGTGAGCGAACAGCTGCATTCTGCGTGATTCTTAAGATACGTTTGCCAGCCATGACCTTGGCATCTGTCTTACTTGTATACTCGGATGTTTTCATGCAACTGATGCATTTGACACATGTGTATTCCATCGTACTTCCGGGGCAACGTATGTGGCCCTACTCTCTTAAAACTAAAAGGTTGTGAAGTAAGTAATTCAGGTTTACCCAGTAAAATTCTTGACTAAGCAAGGATTTGAATGCTGGTCTTCCAGGAGCTCGTCTGAAATGCTAGCCACTACATCACACTGCCTCCCAAACTTCTGCACATCTATCCCAAGTCCAGATATCTGGGCTATTCCAAGGTTAGATTTGCTACAGCCCACTATTGGGTTAGGGACATTGGTTTAGGGGACCCAATGATATTTAATCATATTTCTAGTAGATACATTGAAATTAACAGAAAAGTTAGAGCTAAGTTCCGCTGATTTCATTTGGTCTATGGCATAGTCTGTATGCTAAGTATGCATAAATCGGTATCCACCACTTTATTTAATTTTGCATTGCAAGAATAATGTAATTTAACTTTCCTTGTAGATCTCTGCATAATTAAGTTTATCCTAAAACTGGTACTAGGCAGTAGGTCCAACTGAACATAATGGCATTCCTGATTGAACATGGATAGAACTGTGCACAGCAGACCTCAAAAGCTTGTCATGCCTGTGAATTTGGGAGCTCATAGTAAAAAGTGAGAAGCAGGGGAAACAGGGAAACAGGGAAGTTAGCCTGGGGGGCAGTTATCAATGAAAGAACGTGGGCTTTTATTCTGTGATAAGAATTTATTTATGCTAACAGCATTCAGAATTGGAAAAAAAATCATAACTTTTTAATGTACAGAATGAAAATTCTAATATTTACATTCCGTTAGAACAACCAGTTACAACAGAATGCATTATGATTTGCCTCAATGAATATCACCAAATGTGGGGTCAAAGAAGGAAACTGGAGGTTATTTTTGCAAATGACAAGACTAGGAAGGTTCCGCATAAACTCAACTGAAGTAGATTTAAACTGTGCCTAGATTTGGAAATAGCTTTTATACAAGAACCATAAATAATCAGCAAAACACAACTTCCCAAATGATTTACTGTGGTTTATTTGACACTTTTGAAGAACACCATGTATTCAGAAGATGCAAAAATGACAAGCTTGTGATTTTCTCTCCAGCACTTAGTGGGGTCTGGAGACTTGTACAGGAAGGCAACTGAATAGAATCACAATGATGGGTTTGTTTTTTACAATATATTTGAACGGTTACCCAAGCAGAGATGAGTACTGGAGCATATACACAATCTATACACAATGTGCTGTGTATTCTTTTAAAGTGTAAATATGCTGTTTACCGTAGCAATTACTACAGGTTAAGAATTACATTGCTTAATATGTTCAAAAGAAATGCTTGTTTTTTGGAAGTTTTACACAGAGCATTGGTTGAGGTGTCTTTTAACAGCATTGTATCTTGCTGAATTCTGCCATGATTCTTAATTTCCAGACACTGTGAAGTCACTGTGTCTTTCTCATAATTTTGCTCATACAGAAACTTTCATTGAAAGGTAAGAGGATTTTGCTGACAGGATACAAACTTGTGGCTCTTTAATAGGATTTTGAGCTAATTTCCCCCTTGAGTTTCTGTTGATGAAGGTCTGCAAAAAATCTGCAGCTGAACACACTTGAATATCTACTTTATGGAGTCTTTAGCTTCCTACTCATATCTGGATTTCTTCTAGAAATTACAAAATAGGGTAAATACTACTTATAAGGAAACATTCATGTGCCACTTATTTTAAACATAGCATAGAGCTCCATACTAAAGCATGTAGTCACAGCATCACATTCTATTTCTAAGAAGTTCCATTAGACACCTAACCTAGTTCTGGTATTATTTTGGGAGTGAGGATGGATTCTGGAGTGCATGCCCAGCAAAATTATACTCCAGTTAGGACTAAGAAAGCTGAGGTATGGGAACTTTTTTAAAATGTATCTCACAATAATGGCAACAGTGCTACAGCAGCACTTTAAACTGGCTACTGTGGTTTGATTATATTTAAAGGGTTACTACAGGCAGTGAAGCAGTGTTCAGTAGCTATAGTCTACTGACCTATAGCTATAGTTCAGAGAGTACTTCAGCCAACGTATTTGCAATTGCCTTATTTCATGTACTCCATTTTCAGGCTTAGTGGTTTGTCTGTCCGTTGCACAATATACGTCTAAAAAGCTGCAGCCATCCATGAGTCATCTCCTCGCATTGGCTGCAGGCAGACTGAACAAATTGTATCTGGGGAATTAATCGGATCAGACACCTCCATCCAACGGAAGTTTTGTTCATGTAGGCTAATGCACTGCCGGGCAAATGTGGCTTTCACCTCAATTAAGAGGATTGTCACTATCAAAATGGAATAAAACTTCACGCAAAAGTTAAAGAACCATTATCTAAGATAAGATAGAAATCTTAAACTCTTGTATCTTAAACTCATATCTTCATTCCTGCAGAATTAAGAGTGTTTTCAACCTGGAATGATAGCGATTTGGTTAAGTTATTCAAAAGAGCAATGAATGAAGGTAAGTGGACCCATCAAATGTTTTCAAATACTTTTTTGTTCAGATAAGATTATGGGTAATCGGCTTATAGTGTAATTTATCATGTTTTTACATATAGATGGTAGAAACACTTTTAATCAACATTTATGCATTGGAGAAACATCACATCTTTTTTTAAGTAATCGATGAACAAGATGAGGACACTCTCATATGCTAGAAAACAGAAAAATCTATAAATGTATCCACGTGACCAAGCTTTATAGTCCACAACTGGCCTTGATATGTGATCTGAATTGAGGGCTGGTGATTCTGTTCAGACTTTGCCATAAGAAAAAAGGAAAAAGTAAACTAGTAAAGATGGCAACTGGTATCTATTGTAAAGGATCAGAGCTGACTGAGAGTTACAGAAATGCTGGCAAGCACTTCCCCAGTGGAGATATTTCTCCAGTGTCCTTCTGTGGTGGGGTGAGATGAGGTGAGGTAGAGGGAATGAAGAGTCAAGCAGTGGGAACTTTATGGCCCTTGAGGATTATTTAGGTATCTCTTCCTAACAAAGGTGAAACAGATCGGTGGGCAGCCTCACCCAGTCCTTGTGATAACTGATACCTGGGGTCAGTTGTTAAGTCTGCAATCCTGTATGCACTTACCTGGAAATAAGTCCCATTGTAACTTACTTCTGGACACACATATAGGATTGTACTATGCATACTAAAAAAAGCAATCCTCCCCTTTTTCAGCCTTCCCTAACATGGGTGTCTCCAGATGTTTGAACCAGGTCCCATCAGGCAGAACCAGCATGGCCACCAGTTCCAGGAATACTGGGAGTGGCAGTCCAAAACTTCTGGTGACACCAAATTGGAGAAGGTTGCTCTATTCAGTGTATGATGATAGAACAAGTATCGAGGTTAGAAAAGGTCAGAAGCCACACAGTCAAGGAAGCTCTGTCTTATAATACAGTCATGTGGCTAAGCAGCAATTGCATTCCTCAGACTTGGGAAGCAGATTGCACAATATGGTCTGTTGGAAGAGGAGAGGCAGCAGATGAAAATCTGCTGTCGTACTGTACTGGTAGTCAACCTGGCACCAGGGAACATGTCTACCAAATCGCAAAAATAATCTCTCCTTTTTTTTTTTTTAAAGACTTTCGCCTTGGCAGCTAGGATTGCTTCAGTGCTCTTACTGCTACTATTTTATTTCCCCATAGGGTCACAGAACAGTAGAGCTGGAAGGGGCCATAAGGCCATTGGGCCCAACCTCCTGCTCAACAAAGGACTGAGTTAAAGCACCCCTAACAGATGGCTGTCCAGCAGCATCTCAAATTCCTCCAGCGTGGGAGAGACCACAACCTCCCCAGTTAATTGCTTTTATTAATGTATTGCTACATCAGTGGAACCTATGGGCAGGTTACTTGTTCCTTTGTGACTAGCCATGCTCATCCAGGGCTGTGCCCAGGGCAGTTCCTCAAATTTCCAAAGGTGCTCCTGGGCCTAAAAGGTTGCCTACTACAGCTCTGCTGCCAATCCCAGCAGTAAGCCATCCCATATCATGGATTCTATAGCAAGTATGATTCCATACTGAGTTCCAGCTTGTCATGACGTTTGCCTTTCTAGCAAGCCACAAGCCTGCACAGCCTGTGAATCACCAATCACATATTGTGACCTGCCTGATGAGTGGCAGTCCCTCTTTTTATTTTACCAGGCAGGCAGGCAGGCAGGCAGGCAGCCAGCCAGCACACGTTGTTCTGATGCCTGTTGGCCCATGTTCAGCCCGGAGGATTGCAGGATGTGCAGCTCTGGACTACCAAAAAAGAGAGATTGTTGAAATAAATCATACATCCTGAATCCGAAGTACATTTGGTGTAAATGTTTGCTTAGTTTTCATGCAGAAGAAAAGCTGGTCTATTAAAGTACCTATTGGATTACTCCCAGCATGAGTCTCTTCCCCTCCTTCCCACTGCAGCTTTTTGTGTCTCCCATAAATCTACTCTGGAGGATCCCCAGTCCTGTGGAACAGGTCTGGGGGACTCACAGGGGGATATAGGACTGGAGGAAACATTCAGTCCAGCAGCAGTGTCTGTTCCACTAATGGAAGGGCACCATTGCGTACAATCCACTCCTATTCATTCTTTCAACTAGAATTGTGCCTGTTAAAGCAAAAAGAATTAACAGCTCAGCAATGTGTCTGTATGCTATTATTTGTGTAGCAAGAACAACGTGGTATTGTCTGACATTCTGACACCCCTCTCCCCTTATTATAAAATCAGCTTAGTGCATTACATATCTTGCCATCTTTAAAAGCCTATAATTATTGAAGCCGACTGAGAAACTATGTTATTTAAAATTAACCGTTGAATGCAAATCAACAGGGATAAAGACCATTCTGTGCAAGAAAATAGCACTTTAGAAAGAAAGCATCTGTACAATATTTAAATATTGCATATACATCAGATTATTTTGTTCATAGCTCATCCTTAGAAATTGCTTATTTGTAAACCATGGAAGGCATAAATACGCTCACAAATATAGAAAAAGTAATTAAATATTTGCCTTTGGGCAGGATCAAAAAAAAAGAGGGAATGTCAGCATGCACACTTCCTAATTATTCTGGCAGAATAATTATTCAAGGAACAGCAAGTTAGATACTGTAGCTATAGTGGTTCAATCCATCCCTTTGATAGTTAAATCAGCAAAGCTAATTCACATTCTATCAGGGAACTATATAATAGATGAAATGGAAAGGGCTCCTTTTTTCTTAAAATCTTCACAGAACATTTCAGGTGCTTGCCCAGTGATTATCTGGCCCCTAAAACACTGTGTAAATTCCCCTTTAAGAATATGAGATTTTAAAAGTAAAAGGATCCTATGGCTTTTCACTCATGCATAGCTAATAGGTAAAAAGTTCAGCCGAACCATTTGCCTTCCAGTGTCTTGAAAGTAAATAGATTTCACTAGACAATAAAGTGTTTTTCCCAGCCTTATGCAAAATGACTTCTTTTTTTCCTGGCTGACTCTTCTGCTCTTCTACACAGCAGCTATCCTGTACTGGGGCTTTAAACTGCACCACATAAAGTTGGTCTCCATACTGCAGGCGGGTATTCTCACTGCACAGGGAGGTTTATTTTGACCAACCCCCACCCGTCACAATAGATGAATAATTAGGATAACAGGCAGCTGTTATAGACAGCAACTCCTGGCAAACAACACGGGGCAGCTTCATTGCACTACAGCAGGAAGCAGTTTGTGCCGAGCATCACTTGAGCTACTTGGCTGCTCCATTTTACTCTGGGAGACCAAGTTTGTCACCTAAAGCCTTTTATAATTTCGAGGCTGGCAGTGCTCCCAGGTATGTGTCATGTTCCCTTCTTACTGCTTGTCTCTTGGAAGTCATTCACATGATCCCCAGAGACAATGTTTGCGCCCCCTCTTCTGGCCAGATATTACATAGCTTGTCTTTTGTTGGCCTGCTCACAGCCTTTTTCCTAGGAATATTTGTAGGCAAAGCTTCATCCCGGTGAAGTTTGTTGCAGAGGCAAGGAAGGGTAGTGAGGAGAAAAGCTGGTAACAGCACACTTCATAATCAGAACACCAAGCTTATGCAACATTGGATATATAGTTATATCGAGGTGAAAATAAAAGGAAGGCATACATTGTGAATGCGAGTTAATGATGGGCTTTGTATATAATTGTGGATTATTAACTTATGTATTTAGTAACTTATAAATAACTTTAAACTTTTTATAGCTCTTTCATCAACACTTGGATGAAGTTAGTCTAATAAAAAACATATTCCTTTTCCTGTACGGGATCTCGCTCTCTAGGACCAATGCAGGAATAGTTCCCTCTACTTAACATGTATGAGTGATGTAAAGAAATGGTCCTACCTTTCTCTAACCTGAGGACAGAGGTGTTATCTAGTGAACTACTGCTACCGTACCCTCTTGTTTATTCTGCATGGGGGGTTCCCATGAGCCCACTAGATGAATAACCAAGGTCCTACTTACTGCAGGAGCTCTGGAACTAAAATGTGTGTTTTTCATTTGCTGAAAATGTTGCAATGTCTGGAAGCATATCTGACCGATGGTCAAACAAAGAAGAGAAAATGGAAATACTAAGACTGCAGTGTTGAATCAATTAATCGGTGTCCTTGATTAAGTGGGCAGCATGTTTTTTTTTTTTTAACACAAATGCTTATAAAAACTGCAGCAAGCAGGCACCATCTGCAGAGGCATTCCCTCATTTTTCAGATGGTGACTGTACAGAATGTTTTAAGATGATGGCTGCTACGATATTTATATGCATTATCTACAAATTATTCGAACATTCACAAACATGGTGCAAATTGAATTGATGGATGGATTGAAATTTTGCAGCCCTAGCAATTAGGATTTATTAAAGAAAAACAAAACCCACAAAGCAACATACCCCACATCCCTATGACACAATGTATCTTGTTATCATGGAAAGCCAATTTCTAAAACTGGGTTGTAACTGCTACTCATTTTTATTTTACAGCAAAAGGCCAGAGGTTTAAATTCTAGCATTTGTATAAATATATAAATAGAGAAATCTCCTATTTTAAAACTGCTAAATTGCTGTTCATCCCATAATCGCAGCAGCAGCAGCAAATCAGCCTCTTTGGAAGAGCACCTTCATCTGATGCTGCAAACCTGATCTTCTGCCATCCTAAGCAGTCTCACCAATCTCAGGGATCCAACTTGCTGTTTGTTCTATTGGGGTCTAAAATTGAAAATATCAGCTTTGACAGTGTGGACTCAAAATGCAGAACATATTAAATACATCAAGTAAAGTGATTCCTGAACAAGAGGAGGCAGTGATATTCCCATTGTGTCCTTAGCCATTTTTGGGTTATCTAGCTCGATGTTAAGCCCCTGATAACCACGTGTTCAGATTCCTGACAGATAATTTGAGGAACAGCAACTAAAAGACTGATGTTTCCTTGCAATGGCTATCCTTCTGCCTAGCTCTAGCTAAAATTCAGGTCCAACTGATGACACATGAGACATGAGAGAACAGAAGATTGAAATAATAGCAGTGGTGAGGAAAGGAGTATTAGTAGTTTAGGAAATCAATACCAGCTTTGACACTTTTAGAGGTGGCAACATCAATTGCCATGGCTTTAATCTCAGTGTCCCCAAACTGCATTAGCGTTTTGATTTCCCTCCGGCTTGGCACAGATTTATCCGTTCCTGTGAGATCCAGGCGGAGTGTGCCACACTTTTTCACCCCTGGCTCGGTGATGAAACTGACGTTGTCATGTTCTGAGCTGTAGATATTGATCACAATGACCAGCTGCGAGGGCTTGGCCGGCGTGTAACTGCGTGAGACGGTTTCACCGAGAGCCACTGACTGGTCAGCAGAGATAAATTTGTCAAAGACGTCAGTGCACCAGCGGGTGCCATCTTTAACTAGCAGCTTTTCTGCAGGGTGCTTCCCTTCCACGTAACGATTCAGGACCCCTACCCCATAGGTCAGGGGGGAACGGCGCACTTTAATGACTGCAGGATCCAGGCCAAATAAGACTGCTCCCTTGAGGATGGTAAGGCCCACATCCTGTGGGATGATGATGCGGCACTTTGAGCCAAAAGCATTCTGGACTGCCTGTTGTAGCAACGGAGCTTCAGCAAAGCCACCCACCAGGAAGAGGAACTTCACACTGGTCACTTCTGGCTTTTCAAACAGATCACCTGGGAGAGAGAAAGGAAACAGCAATGGCATAAAACCAGTGCATTGACAGACTGGGCATGTAATGCTTTAATAGGAAGGGACCAGTTGTGGCTAGCTTGACTTCAGAATCTTAATGTGGTTTTTTAAATGGCCTTTCCTTCTTAATGCATGAAAACCTTTAACAAGAAAAGCGTTTTGCCCATTTCCTCCAATATTTCCAAAGAATTGTGAAGTTTTTATAATGGGGCATTTATGCAAGTAGAATAGTTTAATCAGCCAACTGATCATTTAAAATGTTTTTTCTAATCAGTTGATGGAGAGATTTTAAAATTAGGCAGGCATCCCCCACTGCTCCCATGCACCGGTTGTCTATGAAATTATGCATGACATCATGCAGATGAATCTGTGCATGGAATTAGCCAGATATTGCCAAATCCAAACACTGTCAGTATCTCAGGTATCTAGATTTTCATGCTGGAGGAAAAATTACTTTATAGCATTATCATGCTGAAACATGACCATAGCAAGTTTAGTGGATCCCTGTGGATCCCTGTAAGAGGGCAGTGCCAACAGTTGATGTCCCTTCAGCCATCAAATGGCTCTTTTATTACACAACCCATTCTGTGATTATTGGAATAAAATCTCAACTGTATCATTTCCTTTGGTAGTTTGGATGTTATATAGGAGCCACTCTTTCGTGAATGGAAGTCACGAAAGAGCAATGTACCATGCAAGCAGGTAGCGTGCATATTTTGGCTATGGGGATTTCATTTTCTGAACTGCATTTTAGAGATCAAGGAAGTCATTGTGGCTGACATATGTGGATAATCATTCTGAATGTGCAAGTAGAAAATCTGATGAAATATTTTCCCCCAAACAATATGTGAACATCAGACAGAAGTAATGAGCCTGATCTGAACAATAAACTCAGCAAAGTGGTTGTATTACTTTGAACCATATTAATAAGCTCAGTACTATGATTATAAGCGTGGTACAAGTGAGTTGAAAAAGTGGCTTGCTTGGTATGATAATAATGGTTTTATCTCTCTGATTTTCATGCATCTTGTTAGAATGGAGGAAAATGAGCTTAGGTGTTTTCCAGTCCAGTCCTTAACCACATTTCCTCACAAGCGGGTCAGTGTGGATTCCATGATTTTTATCTTGAAGGAGGTACGCTCAAGATTGCAGTATGGACCTCTTAAACCCATCAGTAGACTACATGTTTGGCACTAAAGGTGAAAAAGTAAGTGCAATCTAGACAAAAGCCCCATTGATTTCAGCGACAGAGATGCAAATAATAACCATCTGTAGTAAGTAAGTAAATGAGTTTATTGTTGAAACCGTAAGTCATAATGTAACATAAAAGTGCCATAAAATACCATGAAATAATAATGATAAAGCAATGAGAAAGTAAAATTATTAAAATAATAAAAGTTATAAACAAAAGGTTACAACAAAACAGGGCCAATGCTACCACTGAGAGTTTAAAAATTTCTTTCTGAGTTTAAATAAGAGCAGAGCAAAGGTGGCAACTTGATTGCTGACAGTTGGGAACAAGTCTGCAAGGAGGCAGATTAGTTTTTCAAGGTCTGAGCATCTGCAGTCCTCGCCTGAGCATTCTCTGTTAGAGATTCTAGTCACCTAATAAACCACAGTGCTCTAGATTCCATGAAGTTGGGAACTACTGTTCAAGTGTTCAGCCCTTTCTGTGATTAGACTTTTTGTCTAGTCAGAGCCTTCCCACTTCAGACTTTCAGCCCTAACGCAAGGTGAGAGGCAGATTATGGCCACTGGAGATATGATGGGATGGGCAAAGTCAACAGAAGTGGTTCTGCTCCCTGGACCCACACAGTTGTAATTCCTTGTTTTCCTAAGGCTTAAGTTCCCATCAATAACCATTAAATGAGATTGTATGGGTAGTGTCGCTATGCCCTAATTTTAAAAAGTGAGGTGTCCAGAAGACATTGTAGGATTGATATTGATGTTTTTAGAAAGTATTCTATTTAACTTTGAAAAGACCTTTATTGTGGCTAGAACAAGTTTGTTTGCATATTTGGAGTGAGGAATCAAAAACTGACGTGAAAGTTATGTAACCCCTAACAGAATGAGATACAGTGACTTGCTTCTCTTTCACCTCAAGGGAAGTGATAATGTACAAGATCATTGCTGCAGATTCTGGTGTAAAAAATTCACCTCTACAAAGAAACATTTCCATGACTCAAGAAAATCAGTCAGGACACGTATAGACTAAAACACTGGAACTTGTTGTAAACAATAGTTGCCTTTTGAGAAAAAAATCTCAAGGTAAACATCCTGCATTTATCTTTGAGAGAAACATCCTGCATTTCTAATGTTCACAGTTTTACTGAATAATGGAACAAACTCTTAGAAACTAGTAACCATCGATACTTACTGAGATGCTGTATAATTTGGTCAATGGTGGGTTTGAAGAGAGCATTCATTGCATCTGGACTCATCCTGAGCATTCCTTGTGATGACCACTTCACAAAATCCACACTGCAACAAAGCATGAGAAGAAAACTTGCATTCAAAATAGCACTGTCTGGTTTAAGGAGAAGGCACTTCTCTGAGATGTACCGGATACATTATGTGAGCCGTCCTGAGGCGTTAAGCGATGGGACGGCATATAAAAACTCCAAACAAACAAACAAACAACTACCATGTCAAGATAACTCTTAGGAGGATATTCATTTCAAACGTGTAAACCATTTTCCTACTGCTAATGAAACACTTCTGACTTAGCCACTTCAAGTCATTAGCAATCATTATTTCTATGACTTACTGCCAGAAGAGGTGGTTTCAAAAGATTAGGAAGGAAACGGAGATTTTAGCTTCCAGTGTCACATCTTTCCTGCACAACCTAGAGGTTGTGTACACCAGCAAACACTGTGATAAACAGCGCATGAAGTCATGAAAAATGGAAGATGAGATAGTAAGGGAGTAGAAGAGTAGAAGGTAATACCCATGCTGAAGGAGGGGAAATAAGTTGTTCCGTATGTCATGGAGTAGCTAAGGCAGCCTTCCTGCTTTTCTCGGGATGTGCTGGGCAATTCTGGGACCTGTGGTGAGACCTATCAGGGTGGCACCAAGTCAGAGATGGCTGAGCTAAGGATTAGCAGCTGCATTGAGCAATTTCTCAATTTTTATGCAATCCTAAAAGTAAGAAATGATCTTAAGATACTTATCAACAGAATACTATTTCCCTTATGTGTTGAGAGATATTTTGTCCAGCCTTACCTGAATTATTTCATCCTTTTCATGGGACAAAGAACACAGGAATCTCTCTGGATTCTTTTAAACGCAATGCTTTAGAGATCTACTAAAAATTAAGTCCAGTGGGGTTTGCTTCTAGGTAAATGGCTTGGTTAACTTTTTACTTACTTGCTTTTCCTTAAGGCATGTTCCACACTGTGACCTCGGAATTTCTTGTAATAGTCAATGAATGAGAAAGGCAGAGTGATGTTGAGTGGATTTGTCCGGTCTGGAGCTGCTGCTCTCTTGCGAGATTCAAACGCGATCATCAGATCAACCCAGGCAGCAGGCCGTTTGATTTTAAATTGTTCAATAAAATCTTCTCCAAATATTTTACACAGGAGTTTTTCAAATTCATAGTCTACCCCCAAGGAACCATATGGCCCACCTGCATCAGAAATGAATGCTATTGATAAAATGTGTTGTTTTAACAAAATATTAAAATTCCATGGCACTCCAATATACATTCTAAAATGAAATTGTAAGAAAATGTACTGTATAGGACCCACATAATCATACCAAGAGGAAGCCCATTTTAATCAGTGGTCAACTCTCAGTATGACTATGTCTGGATTTAGCCCAGTGTATGCAGAAATGACTAAGACAAAATTACAGCTGCAATCCTAAACACACTTATTAGAGAATAGCTTCTACTGAATTCAGCAAGACTTTGAGCAAATATGCTTAGAAGTAGAATTCATATAACTTATGTTTTGTACTTACATTATACTACTATCCTTCTTCCAAAGTGGATTTGCAGCTGTGTAGTGATGTATGAGGAAGGGCATGATACTACACTATAAGATTTCTGCTCGTACAATCCTGGTGCTTTCTCAGATTGAATGATTCCCATGACAGAAAAGTCCCTTGTTTAGCCTCACTCTCAATTCCTACTATCCCTTGGCACTGGCCTTTCCCCATGAGCCACTAGCCCCCACTGTTTCTCCAAACACATCTCCACCGATTATTCCGGACACACGGCAGCCATTATGTGACTAGTCACATCCTCCACAGGCGCCATTTTGTGGTGGCACTCACAGCAGGTTCTCAAGTTGCAAAATGTGTCCATGAGTCCAAAAAGGTGGCGGACCCCTAGCCTGAGCAGCTTGGAGGAGGTGAGGTGGAGAGGAAAGGATGGCAAAAAGAGTAACAACTGGGGCTGATTGTGCCACCTGGAAAAGTGGCTGAGGAAACAACCCTGTTCACTTCACAGAGGCAGTAGAAGAACTCTGAAGTAATCTCCCCATAAGAAGCAATGGGAAGCCTTAACTAACTAGCTCTGCCTCCACAGACTGTTACCACGAGACACTGGTGTGTGTCTAGTATTCAGGTGCCCTCCGTGCATTCAAGGAACTTACCCCTGCCATCAGTATGCCTGGCAGCCACACAGACAGAGATTTGGGTACGTGTAGGAAAGGGCTGTACACACATATCAGTGTGTGTGCATGAGCTTCCCTGTGCAGGAGGCACCCTGGGCCAATCAAGGTTTCATCTCAAATGGAGGAGCTCCACTTGAGTTCGTGTGCATCATCTACAAGGCATCACCCTCAAGGGAAGAATAACATGAAGGCCACGGCCAAAAATGGCATCCGTGTGCCTAATTTCCTGCTCATAATGCCTAGTAGAACTTACCAGTGTGCTGACATCACGGCTCAGAGTAAGATCTTCCAGATGCCAGGGAGGAATAGGACTGCTGCTACAGTTGGCAGCAGCTATACATTTAAGAGTGTCAGATCTGGCATTGAGGAGACCTGAGTGAGGCTTCCCCAGCTTGTTCATATTATAGGACTTCAGTGCACTGTGCACCCCTTTTTCCCTTTCTGGAAGCACCTATTGTCTCGTTCGGAAATGTCAGGGCCTTGCTTCTCTCTGATTTGCCACTGCCTTTTGCCTTCCTGGAAAATTATTGGGGGAGTAGGTTAAATAAAAAGAAGCAAATGTAACTCAATTTTGTTTCCCTTCTAAGTCCAGAAGCAGAGTTCACAAGGCATGGTGTATACACACTCCTGTGAATGGCATGGCATCTTTTTACAGCAGAGAATCCCAAACATTCTGCAAACAGCAGGAACGAAAAATACAACTTTTTACCTGTTGCCTTATAGAGCTCCTTCAGGTGCCCTTCAGGTAGTCTGATCTGGTGGACAGTCAAATCAACTGTCCCTCCTCCACTGTCCACAACGATATAACGGTCCCCTGCCAATACAAACATAGTAGCGAGGCACAGCTTGTATTAGTGTCGAATTGTAGCTGGCAGTGTGCTGGCTGGCTGCCTAAACAGTGGGCAAAGTCTGAATGGGGGTTTCAGCATGTTAACAGATTTAAGCATGGATATCTAAAGAATGCAACTGGGGAGCAGTTCTGTGCCCCCAACTCAAGCTCCCCTGCTCCCCTGCTGAACTTGGAAGCATTCATGCATCCTATGCCCCAGTAGAGTGCAGTGGCTGGTTCTTTGCAGTCAGAGCCCCAGCTCCAAGACTTCACAACCTCAGAGGTGGACTCTGAATAGTCCTATGGGTCCCCAGACAGGATGGCACCCTAAGCGATAAACAGAATGGGGCATGTTGCCTATATCGTGACTTGTTTGTTTTAAAAATGAACAGAATCACCAGTGTGACTTTGTGCATCTAATATGAATAAAGACAATTATCAAGCATTTAAAATGATCTATTTAGAGTCGTGTCTTAAAGGAGTCCTGCAACTAGTTTTTCCTGGATGAATAGCAGAATGGCAATGGCATCTGACCAGTCACAGGCGTAGAGCCACACTGAGTTCCTGTTACAGCATTAAAAAGCTAACTGGAAGTATGTGGCTTCCACCCTGGTTAGCTTTTTTTCTCTCGCTCTCCTGGCCTTAAACGGAAACCCATTGTCAATTTGGTTTTCTTGGTTTGATGACATTTCTATGCCAACAAATTAAGTGGGATAAATGATTAGTTGCAAAGTCTAAAAGACAATTAAAAGTAAAAAGACATGGGAAACAGGTGTCTTCACTTGATCCTGAACTGATCCTAATTTAGGCACGAGATGCGCCTCTCTCTGAAGAAGGCATTCCATAGCCAGGGCATCATAACTGAAAAAGGCTGGTACCCATGTCTTGCTGTCCCCTTTGGGATCACTGAAGTTTGCACTTCATTTTGAAGGGCAGATGTTTATATAACAATGCAGTAATCCAAAGGAGAGGCAGAAGGGCATGCGGGTGGAAAAAAAGCTCGGGCAAGTAGAGCGAGATTGCATTTAAACACACATCTCCATCACTTCCTTAATTGAAACCAGCATCTGTACTCCTTAGGATTAAATTGCTTAGCGATGTGTATTTTTTTAAACAGCATGCAACTTTCGGGTTCAAGGCCACCAAAGGAACAGGGCAGGCAATTGTCTTTCAGGCACAACTGCCTTGAGGAGCTTAAAAGCACCAAGCCCAGGGCACTTCTGCTAGCAATGCAAAAACAGCGAGAGCAAAGGAAAGGACACTACCTTCCTCCAACTCGGACCAGATCTCCCCTATGACATTTTCAACCAAAAAGGTGCGGCTCTGCCGGTTACGACGAATGTGTTCTTTAGCTAGTGGATGCCAGAGAGAAAATGACCACGTATAAGAAAGCATGAAAAGGCTGAATGAGTATGGAGCAGGAAGCAAATGCAAAGACACTGGAAGCTTGCTAGTCATTGATCTGTTAGGCGCTAGCTAATGCTTTGGCGACAGATAAAAGCCACAATCCCAACGCATAGATATTTCCTTGGGTTTTTGACAGATGAATTCCAAAATAGGGCATGTTAGGGTGCAATCTGCTGGCTAGGAAATGCTGGAACTTGAGGACTCATTTCTGATCATACATGCATAGGACTGCTCTCTTAATGGCTGAAAGTTACTCATTATCCAAAAGAATATGTGATCAAATGCAAACTCTGTTGAGAATGTTTTTTGGTTTTGGATAAATTACATTTCTTGCCAGCAGAGGGCAGAACTGCCTGAAAACCTAAAGCTGGGCTAAAATAATTTGCAGTAAGAATAGATGGCACTAGTTATACTTAAACATATATTTAGGTTGCTAGGTGAGTTACTGTTTTCCCACAATTAGGAAAAAAGGAAACTGCCCTATGCTAAGTCAAACCCTCCATTCATTTCTATCAGCCATTTTCTCAAGTGGCGTAACTGCTTTCCCATCGCATGTGCTCTGAGCCCTTAATTCAAAATTTTATTTAGTTATTACATTTCAATATTGCCTCATAGCCAAAGCTCCTTAGGTGGTTCAGAACAGTTAAAACCATAAAATACAACACACTTTTAATGCACTATAAAAGTGCTATAAAAAGCATAAAACTAGAGTATAAAATAGAAATAAAATCCTAATTAAATCCTAGTATGATGTTAAAAAAAGATGTTAAAAAGCAGCAAGGATTTAAAAGGGTGGAAAGAGTAAAATTTCTGAGAAAATAATAAATTGATATTGGAAAGAGCACACTGTAGGCAGTAGGCAAACTTCTTTAGGAAGCTCATTCTGCAAGTGGAAAAGGCCCTCTTTTACATGGCAACCCACCTGACTTCATTTGACAGGGGCTCTCAAAGAAGAAATGCTACGGACAATCTCAGGTGGGCTGGCAGCTATAACTGGGAGGAGACAGTCTTTCATGCAACCTGGCTTCAAGCCGGTTAGGACTTTGAATGCTTGTATCAGCCCTTTGAGTTGAGCCCAGACATAGGCCTGTAGCCAGCTCAGATGGTGAGGGGCTGGCTTGATATGATCCCTTTGGCCTCCATCCTACTTTGAACCAGCTGGATTTGAACTAGACCAATTTCAACATTGCACTAATCTAATAATTATCTAGAGATGCCATGGAATAAATCTAGAAATTTTTGCATAAAAAGCTTATGTTTTATCAACTGATGGTATCATTACCAAAATCTAATGTTAACAAAGAAAGCATTTAGGCACTTGTTGCAAAATTGTTCAATAAAAAGCACCTCTATGGAAAATCTTTGACTATTCAAATAAGTCTACAGTATTTCAGTTAATTTCACTGAAGTGTTTATATATCAAATTTGTTCTAGGTTTATTTTAGTTTTGCTTAGTATTTTAGGGGGGTTGGTTTAGTTTAGTAGACAAATAAAAATATAAATAAAAATAGGTAGAACAAAAATGTAATTCAATATGAATACTTCTTGCAACACTTAAAACAAATGAGGCTGTTTTCTTAGATGGTCTAGGCTTTGCTAAGACAGTGCTGAGAAATAAACCATTCTGAAGATCCACTCTGAAATCCACTTACCTCACTGAAATGAGTGGGTCTTATTTTGAGGCGATGTGCAAAGAATTGTGCTATAAACAAATCTACATAAGTAAGGAATATGAAATAATTTCTGATGCCTCAAGCTGGCAAGAAAAGCATAGCACAGAGGATAGGAGCAAATGAAGGCACACTGAGTAGATGAAGAAAGCAGGCACAGTCCACCAAGATGTGAAGCTCTGCTGAACGCAAGTGGAGAATTGTAGTTTGTTTAACATGCCAATTACACACTGTTAGATCATAAAGTGTGTAGCTCATTTCTCAGGGTCGAACTACATGCAACATTAAATCTGTAGTGTGCAGCTAACCTTATTTCACTGATAAGGGCATGGATCTATATGAGGACCGTGAAAATGCACCACCATCCCTTCCTCCTTAACCTTCCAGAGGTGAACTTCAGAAAGGAAGCGGTTGGAGGAGATGGGTTAGTCCACCTTTCCCCCCATGGAGTGTCCCAACCTACACTGAGTAAAAAAGGACGAAGGGTCAGCTGCGTGCCATGTGTTTAATGAAAGATGTAGTTTGACCCTTCAAACTCTGCATTTTATTATATCAACATTGTGTAAGGCCAACAGCATTTGCTGTAGATTTCTGTTTTTCATTCACGTATCAGTTTTATTTTGCAAAATACTTTACAAACTTATTAGGATCTCTTATCAGTCCAATAAAGGAAGGCACTGCTATTCTTGCTTTACAGGGAAGGAAACCTGTGGATTAAGAGGTAAGTCATTTGACTAAGACCATGCAACAAGTCAGTGGAAAATACGGGCTCTAATCTGAATTCACAGCTCTATCCATTATATCATGTTATTTTTGCCAAACACTTCTGTTTACCAACAAATAATGGATTTGAAAATTTGCCTTTGCGGTTTTCATCAGGAATTTTTGATCTAACACATGGATGGAATTTACAACTTTCCACAGTAGGTAACAGAAACACCCAGCAGTGTTATGTGGAAACAGGCACAGGTAGCAGCTGTGACATTTGTGCCACAATTTAAAAAAAAATTGCACCTCCACAGCCTGAGTATCTTGTTCACATCAAGTGGTAATAGTGCTGATTAAATCCATTTCAATTCCAGGCTGTAAGATAACAAAATGTGGAACAGTCAAAGTAGGGCAAATACTTCAGTGCGGTACTCTACATCAAGACAGATACTGTGCTACACTTTGGAAACCTTTTAAAGATGGGGAAAGGCTGCCATTTCTTCTCCATTTACCCTGGTTTGGAAAATGTTCTCACAGTTGTATCTCAATTAGCATCACTTCCTACCCCCATCAAGTCTGATCTACTCTGACATTTGAAAATATGGTTTAGCAATGCTGACAGTTCTGTGAATCAGCAGACTTAATCTGTACTTTGATCAGCCGAACTGCATTAATTGGTTTTGCACAGCCAGATGTATCATCCTTGAGTTGTTTTGGCCTATAGTGCCCATCATCCATGACCAGAGACTGTGAAAGCTGGTGCTGATGGGTGCTGTAATCCAAAAGATCTGATATAAAAAACAGGACAGTTATGATGTGCTATGCAGTAACTCATCCTGGTTGCTGAATCAGGTGAATCAGGTCAGTAAAAAATTGAAGGCAACTTGTTAGAGAAGATTCTGACATGAGCAGAATTGAAAGGAGCATTGACTCGAAGTCTGGTTAAATGTGTTGTACCTGGAGTGAAGCCTGTGCCAATGGTTTCACTTGGGTTATATCCATTCACAGGCCCTTTGCTGCTTAAGTCTATCATCTGATGAAGGCGGAGTTTCCTGCAGTAGATGGATGCAGCCTCTGGTTCCAAGGCAATTATCAGTTGCTCGGGCATCTCAGGGGACGCCATTCCTGCCTGTGAATGGAGAATTATAATGCAGCATTGGGTGGAGCAAAGGAACAATCAGTAGCAGAAGTACCTCTCACAGACAGTTGTAAACTAATTTTGCAAATACTCGTTTTGATTATGCTCCTTTCTTGCTAACAAAATTCTTGCTATCATACACTGTATTGTGGTGGATTTAGAAGAGCCGCTGTGTTTCAGATTCATAAATGGGAGAGATAAATGCACTTTCCCTACAGAATATGATGATGAAAGTGCATATGATATACCAAGAAAAGCAAAGGTAAGTTAAAAGTAAGGGTTAATTATCAGCTTGAAGTAGCTAGAAAGTTTCACATAAGATTCCTAAAAAGAGATAGCTTTGACCTTCCTGCCTCACTGGCATTCAGTACAGCTATTCTCCCAGACTGGATCTGCCTCACATTTGTTTGCTATATTTGTATGCTTACTTTCATAAAAAGTCTCGTAAACCAAAACAGTTCTCCTGGTTGACCAATGGAATGGAAAAATTCAGGCTGCTAAGATATTTACTAAATTCCTAAATTTCCAGTTTTTCCTGCCAGCCACAAGTACTCTCAGTCACATGACTTAATCGTGTAATAATGAGGACTAGATACATAAAGCACATACATAAAACCAAAGATAAGCACATTTGACTTGAAATCAATGGGGTTAAATATGTTTAATTTGGCTTAACCATATCCTAATTTAAAACATATAAATCAAATCCTTGGGGTCTCTCAAGTCTAAGACAGCATGTTAATTCACAATTTATATAACTGGTAATATCATGGTAACGTCTCTCCCTATTTTGTTCAAGAGTGTAAACAGGTTGTCATTTTATTGGGAAATGGCTGATTGGCACCAAAACAATCTTTCTGTATTTCTCTTTTTTTTTCTTTACAGGGTATATCCTGTTAATCATACTTGCTTCAGGTAGAAGGATTTTACTCTCAGATGGTCTGAAGGCCAATCTCAACTGTGGCAGAAGAGTTCAAGAACTATGTAACATTGCAGAATGCAAAGCCAAGTTGGGTAGCATATAACATGTCACAGTGGAAGCTGGAGAGGTTGTGGCCCTTTAAATTATGTTGGATTCGAAGTCCCATTAGCACTAGTCAGCACGGCTAATGGTCATGGTTGATGAGAGCTGTAGTCCAACATTGAGAGGGCCACTGATTCCTTCTCTCTGTTTTAAAAACTGGTTCCAACAGTTTAGTCATTGTAGTAAATACCCACTTCCATTAATTTGTTGTCTGCCACTCTCTATGAATGCCTTTAAATGAGGCACAAACATGCCAGTTCAATGTAGGATAGGTTTAAAGATGTTGCAGCTTTTGATTAATAAACATTTAGAGTCTGGATTGTGATCCATTTTAACACCATTACTGCACTGATCTATTAAAAGATGTGAATGAAACACTCGTTTTGATAAGTATTATAGAAAAAACAGCCTAATTTAGACATTTTCTTCATAATACAGTGGTATCTTGGCTCATGAACTTAATCCGTTCCAGGACTCTGGTCATAACCCAAATTGGTTGTGAGCCAAGTTAAATTTCCCCATAAGGTTCAATGTAAATAAGGTTAATCCATTCTGTAACTAATTTTTTTTTAATCAGAAAAATCTGAAGGAAAGTGACAAAGAACAACAAAGATCACGGCCATCTCCCTGCCCCTCCCCAGCACTACCACAACTGCGCCCCTCATCCCTGCACACACCCATCATCCCGGCGTGCTGGGAGGGGGAGAGAGATGGGCGCGAATGCGGCATGCTGGGGGGGGGGGGGGAGGGGGGGACAGGGGGATGTGTGGGGGGGGAATGGTGCAAACATGGGTGCACTTGGGGGCGGGGGAGATGGCCGAGAAGGCAGTTGTGCTCATGCAGGAAAGACGGGTGCAATTATGGGCGCACTCGTGCAGGAAAGACAGGCGTGATCTCGGCCATCTCCCTCCCTCCCCCAGCACGATCGCGGCCATCTCCCCACTTGGGGGGGGGGGCGGGGGGGAGATGGCCACGATCGTGATCGCCACCCAATCCAGAGTTCGCGATCCGAGTCAAATTTTTATGACATTTTTGTTCATGACCTGATGTGGTCGTGAACTGAGGCGTTCCTGAGCCGAGGTACCACTGACCACTGTGAAAGCATAAACAGACACAAAGCTCTGTGTTACTGCATACTGCTGAGTTTGTTGATTTTTTTAAAAATGCTAATACTCTTTGGAACCCCCCCATAAATAAATAAAAAATTCATGGCATGTTGATTTAGTGTCTTACAGTGCGATCTGCTTTGAGTGAATGACATAATATCCTATAAAACATGAAACATGTTTTCCCCTTCATCATATCTGGGGATTTCTCAAGGCTATGGTTAGGCTTTCTCTTACAAGTTGGCACACTGAGCCCCTTTGTAGAAGGATCACTAAAGGCAACAGCAATCAAATCCCGGACACAAAAGGTTGCCCTTGAAAAAGCAAGAATAGTAAAAAGCCGCTCAGCTCTGCTCTGGCTGACACATTTAGATTCAGCCATAGAAAATGATGATACTTGGCTATGATTCACAAGTTCTGGGTATATACTGAGCTATTTAGCCTTCTTCCAACTTATAGCAGGGCTTGGCAGACTTCAGGCTTGCGGGGCCTACTTTTATTTGATTAGATCCCTGAGGTCTACTCAATGGAGCTGTGAGCAAATAGTAGGACAGAGCAGAACCATATGAAGAGTGATGGCTCGGGGCAGAGCAGATGGTCTGCTATATCCAAGCAGCTGTTTGTTGGAGTGACCTGCAGATATATCTAGAGGTCTACATCTGACTTCCTATTAATAAAGTTCCTATACCTAATGCAGAAGTGCCAGGCAAGCCTCTGTTGCAGCCATTGCTAAACAAGTGGGAGCCAGAAGAGCTTGCTTAGTGCAAATTATCTAGTGATGTGGGTATCCTGGAAAATTTTTAAGTCAAACTTTTTCCTATGCAAAATAAGGGTAATTTGCATTAGAAAGCTTTCTGGGGCCCTAGGCAGTGAGGTAATTGGGTAACTTTATTTACTTGGATTTTGTAAACAATGGAGCAAAACAAAAATATTAAGTGTTATTTTTTGTCCCACTACACCAGAAGTGTTGGACTCCAGAAATATTTAAGGAAAAATCAAGGATAGATAATTATATTTCAATGTTATAGTTTGCAGAAATTTTACTGAAATATTCATAAATCATAAAGACAAAAAGCATATGCTTTCCAGACATTGTTTCAACAACAACACACACACACACACACACAAAAGCAAATGCTGAAAATTGTTGATGACATGGCTGTACTTTTCAGCAATTGAACGAACAGTACACGGCAAGTTGACCAACCACCTGCCTATAACTCAGAAACTGCCAAGTTCAGTCCACACAAGCCTGAGATGCTGTTGTTGTTGGTTCTTCTGAATGGAACAGAGAGTATTCAGTGTATTCTAGATGGAGTAGCACATCCCTCAAAGAAGCAGGCTCATCACTCAGAGGTGCTCCCTGAGCCATCGTTGTCACTTGAGGCCCAGGTGGCTTTGGTGGTACCAAGTGCCTTCTACCAGCTTCAGCTGATAGCTCAGCCCCAAGCTGACAGAGATAACCTGGCTTTGGTAATCTGCACTCTGGCAATCTCAACACTACATTACTGAAATGCTCTCTATGTGGGACTGCCCTTTAAGACTGTTCACAGTCTGAACATGTAACAGCCATTATGGCTTGCTTGTATTGGCTTCCTATGTGCTCCCAGCTCCATTCAGGGTGCTGGTTTTAACCTATAAAGCCCTGCAGTGCTTGGGGCCACATTACTAGATGGACTTCTCCCAAAGGCAATCTACCCTGGCACTCTGGTCAAGATCTTGGGCCTGCCTCTAATTGCTACCTCCAAAGGCTGCTCAATTAGTGGCAGCAAGGAGAACAGCCCTTTTAGTGGTGGCCACCACCCCACAACTCCAATTATGGAACAAGCTGCACATTGACCCCTGCCTGCTACTGACTTTAATATGTTTTCAGCACCAGGTTAATATGCATACATCTACTTTGTATGTAAATAGCCAGAGAGCTTCAGCTATGGGGCAGTATAGGAAACCAGTAAACAAATCAGCTCATAAAACTGGAATTTTCATGGAAAAATAACGCACTGGAGAATTTTTTCTGGAAAAATTTCCACGTTACACTAAAATTATCCCAGGGAGCTCTCTGACTTTTCCTCTAAAGGAATTTCCAGTCTTCTTAAAAGTGGCATCTGCCTAATTCAATCTTTCTTTCAGGGCCAAACTATCTGAAATGTGGTATTAGGAAGCCAGTCAGTTTAAAAAATTGAATAGAACAGCAATTTTCACTGGGACCACAACACACAAGCAGACAAGGTCAAGATGTTTCTTTCCTATCATGAGCTCAGCAAAAACCACACACACTCTGATAAGAATTAGTTCCAGGAAGAAAGTTCTATTTCTGAAGCAAGAATCTCTCCCTCCCTCCCTCCTTTTTTGATAATACTTATTATCAGTGCATAAATATGATACATGGGATTTTAAGCCAAAAAGGAATAGGGAACTGGACTGCCTCATTTTGCTGATCTGTAAAGCACACTGGTCATCATATTTTGGGAAATTATCAACCTCTGAGATAAAATATGCTTACATATTTTGATTAGATGAATTAGAAAACAGGTGATAAAGGTGCTGGTTGGCTAAACTTTTCAAGATATTTCACAATCAAAATTTATACACAGGCAAGTATATTTGCCTACAAGGGAGGGAAGTGTCTGATAATCATGATGCCTTGTAACTTCTCGACAAAGTACGGTAGAACAATGAAAATGGAAGTGTATAAATTTATCTTCACTTTTGAGACTAAATTTATCTTCACTTTGAGACCTAACTGTAATTTCTTGTTCTTTTATTGCAAGGTACATTTGTCTGGTCAGATCTACACCTCATACAGTTACATTTGGCGGCTTGTGAAAGTGTCATTGCCTAACATTTCCAAGGAACAGTTG